GCAGCAACTTCGATCGGATCGTCCAAGGGAAGCATACTCGGCATGAGCACCGAGCAAGGCGTCCTATCGCCACCGAGGAACCCACGTTAAACAAGGAGGGCATTCCCTCTGCTTCTGTTGTAAACATTTGATTATTAGTTTGTAATAATCCGTTCTTATCAATACAAACGAAGTTCCCTGTTTTCGGGAGATCAAAATTTACACCCTACACATACGTTTATAAGGAATTTGAAAAATGATATGATATAATATGATATGATATGATTTTTTTGTAGAAATAGTGAAAACAGTTGAGAAGAACAGGAAAAACAACGCATGAATCATTTTTGGTGTTGTTCGGTCAACTGTGAGACAAGTGGCGGTCGATCGGAAACATGCACGACTTGGTACAAGTTCTGGATTTTTGGCCAATCGATCGCGACGATTTCGACGGTCGACCGCCAAATCCTGTAATTGATTTTTGGTTTCTGTCTTTCTGCTCTGTCGATCGCGATGATTTCTGCGGTCGACCGCCAATCGGGTTTGGGCTTGTTTTTAGTTTTCTGTTCTGATTTGGTTTGTGTTTTGATATATATTGAAATACAATTTTTTAGGGTTAGAGCAAGGTTGAAAAGAAGTTATTTGGTGCACAGAAAAAAGAATTTTTTGAGCAATTTGTTTGGGATTTGTATGAGAGATTTGAGAGATTTGTTTGAGAGATTTTGAGTGATTTTGTAATATCTATTTGTACTCTCTTCTCTATTAGTGAAAACACATCCCCTTCTTACCTCGTGGACATAAGCAACTTACCGAACCACGTAAAATTCGTTGTTTGTGTTCGTGCTGTTAATTTTGTGTTTGTGTGACGTTCTCTCTCGGTGATTTCGTGTTTCCTCGGACCTCAAAAAAAGGCTTCAGAGCCCAACAAGTGGTATCAGAGCTTCAGGCTACGCTTGGGGTTTGGTGGAGGAGTAGATCGCTTTGGAAGCTCTTTGAGGACTTCAATTGGAGATAAAGGTGGGTTTTTTTGGTAAAAAAATCTACCTTTTATTAGTTTGGATCTATTTTTTAGTTTGTTCCACATTAATTTGTTGGTACTTTGAGGAAGATGGCTGGGAAAAAAGATGAATCGGGTGTTGAGAGTGGTACTTCTGGCGTGAAGACTATTCAATGTTTGAATATCCACTCTACAAAGATAGATGTGGAGAAGTTTAATAGCACAAACAACTTTGATTTATGGAGATGTGAGGTTTTGGATGCGTTGAACGCGCAAAATTTAGAGGATACTTTAGAATTAGATGGCAAGCCGAATGATATTGAAAAAAGGTTAGGAAAAAGATGAATCAGACGACGTGTGGTGTCATTAGGTCTTGTTAAACACATGATCTAAAATATGATATGATCAGTGAGACTTCTGCAAAGAAGATTTGGGAGATTCTTGAAAGCAAGTAATTGACAAAGAGTGTTGAAAATCACTTGCATTTGAAGAGGAGACTTTACCGTTTCCAGTTGAAGAAGAGAATCTCAATTAGTGATCACATGAACAACTACACGAAGCTTCTTACGATTTTGGTGAATGTGGATGTCGTGATCGAGGATGAGGATAAGGCATTGTTGTTTTTTAGTTCCTTTCCTGTTGAGGAATATGAGACATTCGTTCTTACCCTAATTAATGAAAAGACATCTCTTTTGTATAGTGAGGTTATCACTGCTCTTGTGAATTATCAGCAAAGGAAGAAGGACAAGGAGTCTTCTAATGATACAATAGCAGAGGCATTGACCGCAAGAGGGAAAAGTCCAAACCGAAATAAGAGATCGTAGTCTAGAGGAGCACATCCTTTAGTTGGTAGAAATCAATGTGCTTTTTGCAAAGAAGATAGACATTGGATGTCTGAATGCCCAAAGTTAAAGGATAGAGCCGTGAAGAATAAGGGGAAAGCCGTACAAGTTTTGGAGGTGAATGTTGCCAAAGCTAGTGACGACAATTCAGATTCGAATTCTTCGGGCTAATCATGCCCAACACTACCATCAGTTTGTTATGCCGGATCTATAAAGTGGATGTTGGATTCAGGTGCTTCATACCATATTTGCCCTAGGAGAGATTGGTTCTCTAGCTTTGAGGAGTTGAAAAGAGGGGATGTCATGTTCATGGGCAATGATCATGAATACCCTATTGATGGTATTGGAACAGTTCGGATCAGGATGTGTGATGGGGTGACTAAGAAGTTGAAGGAAGTAAGATTCGTTCCGCAGTTGAGAAAAACATCATTTCACTTAGAACTTTGAAGGCAACATGATATAGGGTGATCTTAGAGAATGTAATTCTAAAGGTCACAAAGGGGTCCATAATTGTGATGAAGTGTATCAGGAAGAATAACTTGTACTATTTGACTGGAAGTACAGTGACAGGTTGAGCGCCAACGACTTCTATTGATTTGGCTAGACTGTGGCGTTTGAGGAGGTTGGGACATTCGAGTGTTGACTTCGTGCATGGATTGGTGAGAGGTGCTTTGACCTGCAGATTGAAGACCTGTGAACATATTGATGTGAGTAAGAAGAACAAGGTGAAGTTTAACACTTCTATTCACCGAGCTAAGGGCTTTCTAGATGGTGTTCACATGGGCGTTTGGGGGCCTTCCAAGGAGGCATCATTGAGAGGTAATATGTATTTGGTTTTCTGTGTTGAAGACTATTCTAGGTATTTTTGGGTTATAGCCAAGTCCTGTTTGAGTGAAGTCCAAGTAGTCAACAACTGGTGGAAGAAGTGTATAGAGACCAAGACAGACAGAAAGTACAAGAGAGATTTGTTTCTGCATTTGTGCCAAGTTCAAGGCAGTTTGAGATACTTCATTGGAAATGAAACTTTGGGGCAACGAGATAATGTGACAGATTTGATGAGCTGTTCCTTACTGGAGGAAGATCGATGTTTTATGTCAAGCAGAAGTTTGCAGAAGAGTTTTAGTACTGAGGCTTTGATATATTTGAGTCATCTTATTCGTAGGTTGCCATCTGCTGCGATTGGAGTATTTGAGTCTGTTAGAGTTGCTTCAGAATTTAGGTTGCTTCGGATATTTGGGCGCCCAACATATTATCACATCAAGGATATGAAATTTGATCCGAGTGTACATTTGGGATTCAGATGTATGTTTGGCTACAAGTTATGGGACTCTGATGATAAGAAGATTGTTCTAAGCAGTAGTGTCATTTTTGACTCTCAGCAGGTGGAGAGTGCTAGACAGATCACTGGTATATCACGGTAGGTGGAGAGTAATGCTGATTCACATTGGATGGAGATTACTCCACGTTCTCCAGATCGTTCTGTATCGTTTGAGAATCCAGCTGAGGTGATACAGATTGAGAATCATGTTGGTGTGGATATAGATGACGAGTTTGAAGATCATGAATCGAGTGCAGTAGGTGGACACAGTTCAGATTGGGCTATGGTCGTTGGTTCACCTCAGGTGGAGGTGTTTGGTAATTGTGTTTCTTCTACATATAGGGTTGAGGGGTTAAGCTGCAAGACAGATTTGATGTGGAGAGATGCAAGTTTGGAAGAGAGTTTATCTTTTCACTTTGAGGCCATTAGGAATGTTATTAGCTGCAGATTTGTTGGTGATGATCGTGAAGTTGGTAAAGAATTGAGAATCCTTCTAGTTGATTGAGGTCTTTTACGACCATTTGGGTGTACTACGTGAGGCTTGAATCGCTTGATTCCTTGGACAAGAGGATACGTAGATAGTCATTTTGATACAACCAGTTTAATGAGTTGATACCGATATTTTGGTGTTTGTTCGCATTCTCGTTTGGGTTCTCGACTTGTTGTGGATTGAGTCTGTTATCGTGAATTAATTTCACTTCGTACTGGACGTAACAAGTGGGATGTTTGGTTTGGTTGGTGTCGGCTCAGTTTTGAAAAAACTTCACCGAGGTGGAGAATTGTAGAAACGGCGAAAACAGTTGAGAAGAACAAGAAAAACAACGCAAGAATTATTTTTGGTGCTGTTCGGTCGACCGCGAGACAAGTGGTGGTCGACCAGAAACGTGCACGACTTGGTATAGGTTCTGGATTTTTGGCTGGTCGACCGCGACGATTTCGACGGTCGACCACCAAACTCTATAATCGATTTTTTGTTTCTGTCTTTCTGGTCTGTCGACCGTGATGTTTTCTGACGTCGACCGCCAATCGGGTTTGGGCCTGTTTTTAGTTTCCTGTTCTGATTTGGTTTGTGCTTTGATATATATTGAAACATATTTTTTTAGGGTTTGAGCAAGGTTGAAAAGAGGTTATTTGGTGCACAGAAAAGAGAGTTTTCTGAGCAATTTGTTTGGGGTTTGTGTGAGAGATTTGAGAGCTTTGTTTGAGAGATTTTGAGTGATTTTGTAATCTCTATTTGTACTCTCTTCTCTATTAGTGAAAACTCATTCCCTTCTTACCCTTTGGACGTATGCAACTTGCCGAACCACGTAAAATTTATTATTTGTGTTCGTGCTGTTAATTTTGTGTTTGTGTGACCTTCTCACTCAACGATTTAGTGTTTCCTCGGACCCCAAATGGAGGCTTCAGAGCCCAACATTTTTTGGTTAGAGAGATTTTCATTTCATTGGATCCAAGGTTACCTTCAATTATTATTATTATTATTATTACTTATTAAAAAAGCTAGTCTTTACAGTATATACTTTCAAGGATCTCTAATTCCCAATCCAAAAGACTCTTTGGCATGAGAAATGAAATTTTGTTTTTCAAAAATTAAAAAAAAAAAAATGCATGCATCTCTCTTTCTTGTGAGATGTCCATATTTAATTCATTTTCCCTCCGAATGGCACATACAATTAAGCAATTCCCCCACTAATAATACATGTAATTCAGCAGTAGCAAAAACTTATTTTATCCGATAGTTATCCAGTAAATGATATTTACCTGATTTTCATCTATGGGCCACCCAGCCCAAAACATAAAATAGCCCACTGGGCCCCGCAACCCCTACCCACCCAATCGCTCCGACGTAAAACCCTAAAATCCAAAAAACCCCTTCAAATCTCTCCCCATTTCCCTCTCATTTCAACTTCATCCTCCCCCAAATAAATAAATTAAAAAAAAGAGAAATAAAGAAAAACCCCGCCAACGACGATGAAGGAGGAAGCGGTCGAGAGACTCCGAGCGGTGGTCCGCGATAGCTTGAGCAAGCATCTCTACTCCGCCGCCATCTTCTTCTCCGATAAGGTCGCCGCCGCCACCAGGCGACCCCGCCGACGTCTACATGGCAGGCCAGGCCCTGTTCCTCGCCGCCAGCACCGCCGAGCTCTCCACGTCCTCAACTCGTCTCAGATCGTGCTGAGAGATCTACGGGTTCGGTATCTGGCCGCCAAATGCCTTGTAAGAAACCCTAACCCTAGCTCTTGATATTGTTGATAGCTAGGAGAATAATGTAGAAATTGGCAATTGATAACTACTAAAAGAAGGAATTTGTCGAAAAGATAAGACATTTTAAGGGTAAATTACACTAGACCCCCAATAACTTTAATCGTTTTGTAGTAACCGCAATTACTTTCAAAATCACAATAAACCCCCAATAGCCCCCTCTTGCAGAAAATCCCCAATAGGTTTTGGATAAGTTACACAAAACCCTCAATGACTTTCAAAATGTCGTTATATGTTGTTCCCTGGTTCTAGTTTATGGGGTTATCTGCAAAAATGCGGAAATTTATTGGGGGAGTTTTCAACAATTCCAAAAGTTATTGGGGATTTATTGCAATTTTGAAAATTTTTTGGGGGTTTACTACAAAACACTGAAAGTTCTTGGGGTCTAGTTTAATTTACCCTTAGAGCATCTCCAAGGGGCCGGAAAAATCCGGCCCCTTAGCTAAATTTGGGGATTTTTAGGGGAGATGAGCTCCAACGGGCCGAAAAATTTCCCCTTCAACCTCATGTCCCTTAACTTCCTCATCCAATTAAGGGGAAGGTTAAAGTCCCTTAACCTTCCCCTTATAATTTTATATTAATATATTTTATTTTAGAGTTAATTTATAGTTAATTAAATTTAGTTAATAAATAGTTAGTTTAAAATAATATAATTAAGTTAATGTATAGTTAATTTAATTTGATTAATATTTTTTAGTTATTAATATAATTAAGTTAATGTATAGTTAATTTAATTAAGTTAATTAAATTTTAATATGATTAATTAATTTAATGATTATATAAGGTAATTTCTTAATTTAAATTAATTAATTAATTATTTTTAGTTATTAATATTTAATTATTTATTCATTTATAAATAAACTACATATTTAATTAAATCATAATCTATAAAATTTAAAAACTAAACATAATTAATTAAGGGGTAGGGTACTTTTAAGGGGGACCATTGGAGGAGAACCAACCCCTTCCTTAAAGTTCCGCCTAAATTAAGGGACATCCAAGGGATCTCTTGGAGATGCTCTTAATGAGTACTAAACAAGGGATTTGTGCAAAAGCTAAGACAGTTCAATAATTGGATTACTCGGGGAGGGAAAAAGTTCAATAGTCAGCCTGTAGCTCACTTGTGTACTGTTACTTTTTACATTCGAGTCCTATGGAATTGTAAATTTGCAAATTACTTTAAAAAAACTGTTTTAGGTTGCAACTCAGCTTAAGGCATATATCAAGATTGAAATCTTGTTGACTGTTGTTTTTTTTGCTTAATTAGGAGGAATTGAAAGATTGGCACCAGTGTTTGGTTATGCTTGGGGATGCGAAAGTGGATGAGCACGGGAATGTTCAGGATCAGGAGTGTGGCAGGGGGATGTACTTGGATAAAGATAGTGAGGATCATGAAATAAATGTAGGATTTTTTTTTCATTTTGCAATCTTATATCATTGTTTTTGAGACTGAATTACTGACTTTGTCATTTTTTATTAGTAGATCATGTCGGCCATATGTTATTTGCGTGGCAAGGCGTACGAAGCTCTGCAAAATCGTGCTCTAGCTCGATTATGGTGACTGATAATATTTCTTTATTCATCAGCACTGAGGATAGTTAGATTTGGTTATTCTCTTTATTCAGTTCAAATGATTTTCCTCTCTTCACGTTTGCTGATGATTTTTGTGAAAAATAGTGTTTTATTTTTTTAATCGTTTCAGTAGTTTTTATGCTTATAGCTTCAAGCAGTTGGGTGGTATCTCTCTCTCATGGATCACTTCAGCTAGTTACAAACACTTATGTGTTCTCAATATGCAACGGTTATCTATTTTTCAGTAGGAAAGGCGATTAATACCTGCATCACAGCATCTTTAGAATGAGAGTATATCGTTAGTTTCGTACATCACCTTTTCTGAGTTTTTAGGAAGCATCACACTGAACATTCCTTGTTTAACTGTATTATAAATGAAGCATATATAATAATTAGTGTATATAAAGATATAACTGATTACAAGAAACTTCTGTTGCCTGCCACACAAACTCAAAACCTACTTGCATACTGTTTCCATGTGCAACTCCTGACACCCAGTGTCAGGTAGCTTTTGGTTTAGAACATTTGATTCAGTACCAGAATTTTATCTTCATCTCTTATGTTTATCATGAATTTCAAGTTGAGGCTTTGAGAATACGGAACAGTGTCTTGTTTTTTGAAGTTGAGTTGTTTATTGAGTTGATTTTTGCATTTAATTATGCATGATATTTTTCATTTTTCTGAGGTGTCTGTTGCTTATATTTTTCTTTTTGTGCTTAAAAGGTACAAGGCGGCTATTAAGGCTGACCCCTTATGTTATGAGGTATGTAGATATGGTAAATTTTGTAGAAACTTCATTTCTAGAGTATCATCATTGATTGCTGTGGTTGGAACTTCGAAGTGATGCAGATGTATAAGATTTCCTTGTAGTTTAGCAGAAGAATCATAAGCGTAGTTTAGCAGAAGAATCATAAGCAAGAACTTCCTTCCTTAAAATGCTTATAAATTGTTCTTTATATTACATAGCATGAGAGTCCACAATTCAAATAATTCTCCTTTGATTTCTTTATGAGAGTCGTATTTGACTACATGACATTAAAGGTTAAACGGAAGAACATAGATTTCTCTGCGCAGCAATTGACCTTCTAGGATTTATGACAAACCCTTTCTTGTTGTTAGTTTCATCAAGATTTTTTATCTTATTATGCCAGGTTAATAGTCAGTTGTAAGATTTTCTCAAATCTTTGATAAAGCTATATGCTCTGCTGTGTATACTTAATTAATTCTCTTCTTTAAGCCGTTTTGTCAAAATGCAGTGAGCTATAGGAAGACCCAAGTTAAGCAGGCTAGGTTGGGAAATGACAAAACTCATGATTGATATCAACCTCAATAGCCTACATAACTACGTGAACTCCCTGTAGAAGGCAACTGAAGGGAAGCTAGGTAATAGTCCCAAGTATGTTTCCTTGGCGGCTTGAGACCCCTCCTATGGCTCAAGTAGATATTAACCTTTTCAACTATTATCATTCTTCTAAGTTTCCTGAAACTTGGATGGTTAAGTGACTAATGTAGATACTAGATAACAATATATGTTAGAATCGCATTCATTTTGCGCTATACAACATAACCCAATTTGCAGCATTTACACATCTGCTTGAGCAATTAGTCTAATCTTGGCAGCTAAAAATGGGCATTATGCATGCCTTAGCTAGTTATGTGCTTCTGGCCGTCGTTGTTTTTCTTCTTGGAAATAGCTTTTGCTATAAGCTTAGTAGTTAGTATCCAAACACCTGTAATACCTTACCTTGATCCTTGACCTATGTGGTTTAAATATTTAGTTACCACACGACCCCATTTGGTACTGAACATGTTGTTAATAATCATTTTGATCCTACATGTGGACTCATAATCGAGTTGTGAAATGCAAACAGGTTATAGACATTCTTACTTTATGTGCAGACTTCTTGTGTCATGTTTATTTGCAGTAAGACGGCTTTGTCTAGTTATATACTGTCATGCTTCTGGTTTTAAATCTGTTTCTTACACAATTGATAGCAAATCATATCCTTCAAATTGGTATTGAGACGCTATAGTTATTTAGATGTGTAACAGTGAAGGGTATAAGTGTATATTTATTACTGAAGCAATTCAATTGGACTTTCTGAAGCTATATAATAATCTGTTTTGTATGATTAATGCACCTGCCATTTAGGCATTTAAGGGATTAAATGCAAGCTAAAAGGCAGGTCCTGCCCTTGGGCTGGCCATACCTGACTGAATTTGAATATTCCTATATTTATTTCATCTAACATGCAACCGTTTAACATGCTGAATGATAGATGGGCCATATATGGATAACTAGATGGACCAAATATGGATATCTGGGGAGTTGATTCATTTAATATCTCACTTAAATCGTGTACGCTATTATGGCTGGAAATACAAATTAAATCTTTCTAAATCTAGTTCATGTATGATCCTATACGTTTAACTTTTGCTCACAACCGTTTTAGTGATTGCAACTTGATGATGCAAAGTTATAATGAATGTTGAAGAATGTGCCTGTTCCCACAGCTCATGTAGCTAAAGAGTCCAAAGTTTAAATTAAGAGATCAAGGAAAATTTTGATCTGAGCACCTATCTAAGAAATGAATCCCAATTTTGAGATAGCCAGATCATGTTGAGATCCAAATCCTTCCTCTGCTTAGGTAGATATGGTAGGATTCAATCAAACCTCATCCACTTGCAGTCCTCGCAAGAAATTTGAAGCCAGTGAAAGAACTTGTTCTTAAGGTTGTGGAGGATTTTCCAAATGGAAAGGAGCATGAGACCCACACCTTTTCTTTCTTTTCTTTCCTTTGTTTGTTTCCCCATCCAATGTTGTAGCACTGTTAAATTTTCAGACCCACACCTGTTCTTTCCTTTTTTTTCTGCATCCCATTGTTGTAGCACTGTTGAATTTTTGCTGCTGCATAAAACTACTCTAATAGAGTCCATGCGTCTTTTAGGAATTTTGTACCTAAACTTGTTAGGTTTTCTCATATTTAGAATTAATTTACAAATCAGTTCTTGTTTTTTTCCTTTGTCTTTTCCCTCAAGATGTGATTAAGGGAGGGGAGATTGTATCCCTCTCGAGGATAGTGGACTGCAAATTTGTCTTTCTTTATCAACCAGAAAATATTGCTTTCTCTAATACTTTTGTATTTTCAATATCTTGCAGGCTTTGGAATGTTTGGTTGACAATCACATGCTAACTTGTGAGGAAGGTATTATGAAGCAATGTAGATGTTTTAAATCATAATGATATAAAGTTATACAATGTGGACTCTCTCTCTCTCTCTCTCTCTCTCTCTCTCTCTCTCTCTCTCTCTCTCTCTCTCTCTCTCTCTCCTGTGCGCGCATGTTGTGCAGTGAGCATGCCTTTGCGCGTGTACGTACGCACTAGAAAGGTGTCTGCCATGTGATAGTTTCAGTACACTCAAGTACTTTTAGGAAACATGGAAAGTCTGTAGCTTGGTGTGTTTGAGCATGGGGTAAAAATGTTATTTGGATGGAAAACATCCTGTTGACTATTACCAATTCACACCATTTTTACAAAATTTCCACATTGGACATTTGGACATGACACTTAGCTTAGACATTTTGAAAATCATCATAGTTGAAGAACGAGGTTTAGAATATCTAGAATAACTCAAGGGAGTAATTGAAATAAATATCATACAAATGCCCTATGCACATGCACATGCACATGCACATGCACATACGCTTAACATATAATATCCATAAACCCCATCCTTTAGCATAAAAGTTGTCATCTTGCCCACTTTCGGACACTTGAAACCTGTGTCCCATGTCCAAATGGAATTATAAGGCCTTGCTCCAATAATTTAGGTGGAATATTTTCATTGTTCTTCCTTGTAATGTTCCATTTCAATGCAAGATGTATTTTTGTATCTGAGAAATCTCACCTACTTAAGCCAACAAATCTTAATAATTGCCAAAAAGGTTGTTTCACTTTTTGCTAATGGTTTTCAGCTTTTTCAAGCTTCTCGTCCATTTCCTAGGTTGTGATCAGAATTCTAACGTAATGGAAATTTTTGTTGTTTCCAACTGTAGTGAATTTTTTACAGGTTAGCTGCATGAGTTTTAAGTTTGATATGCATCACTTTAGGTTTATTAATTTGTCATCTTCAGGTTCAATCTGCTGAAAGGATCTCCTATTTGTCAACTTGTGTATCGATAATTTATTTGATGCAGATCATTTCTGGATAAAGTTCATTCTTCCTTTATTTAAGTCTTTCCACACCTTATCCTTCATTGGTTGGGGGTGGCACCTTCCCCTAGGACTACGTGTGGGTTTTTTGTGATTTAGTGGGTGTTCGATTCCAAGTACCAGTGGTTGGCTTTTACGTAATAAGGAATGCTTTAAACAATATACTTGGCTATGAAACATGTTTTCTCTTAGATCTTACAACATATAAATATTTTTCTCATTTCAAAACCCAGCCCTAAATGATCTAGGCATAATGTTTTGTTTCAGAATTAAGCTTGTTAGCATCTCTGCAATTTGGGAAAGACGATGGATGGCTGTCAACATTTTATTCATGTTTAATAAAGAAGGTATTGAGTACAGAGAGCATGTTCATGATAGTGAAGAAAATAGTGTTGGTAATTTTTTTATCATTATTCACACATCCATTTTAGTGACCAATTTGTTTCTTGCACTCTTTAGCATGACAAAGAAAATGTTGTAGAAGCAAAATTTGCAGAACTTGAGAGAGATACTAGTGGCATTCCTTCTTCATCTTCGTCTTCTTTGGCACTGAAAAACAACACAGACCTCTTGGTTTGCAAAGCTGAATATTACCATCAGTGTGGAGAGTATCAAAAGTGTTTTGAACTTGTTTCTACGTAAGTTTATTAGTAATTTCCAAGCAATAGTCTACCTTTTTTGTATTAATTATAAGTGATTCTGTGTTTCTTCCCTTTTCTATAAAAAATTCAGGTTACTAGCCAGAGATCCTTTCCATCTTAAATGCACCTTAATCTATTTAGTAGCTGCTATGGAGCTTGGCCATTCTAACGATCTCTATGTTATGGCTGGCAATCTGGTGAAGGATTATCCTCAAAAGTAAGTACTTGATAGCCTTGTGTGTTCTCTAGTTGTTTCACTCATTCAAGCAAGATTTGGTGCTTCAGACAGTGGAGTTCACAATTAAGCTGATGAATGCATGGTGTTAGTTATTCAGTTATGACTAAATATCATGATCCATTTAATTCAATCTAATTACATTGTTGCCTTTTTTTTACTAATATTTTTGTGGAAATTCAAGTTAACATAAGCATCCATGCTATACATGAGTTAGAAATCTGTTTTGTTTACATTTTTTTGTTTTATCATCATGTATGTGTGGTGCTGCAAGTTGGACGCGGACCATGTACCTGTGGCTGTTAGTATTTTAAACTTATAAGGTAACCCTTAAGGCTAATAAGGAAGCGGGTTCGGTTTCTGGTCTGTTGCGTTACAACTGCAATCTCGAGGAGAATATGGTTACAAATAAATTTTGTCGCGTATGTTGTGGAATAGAACTGGTAGGTAGTGGCTGTGAGGCGCAGTGGCATTTGTTGGTTTTCACTTTTACTTTATCTGCTGATACTTATTAATAAAATTAGTTCACTTTTATTGAAGAAAAGGAATTATAGTTCATACTTCATAGATTTTCAAGTGATATGCTTGATATAATTTACCAATTTATCTCATTTTCTTGTTGTCATAGCTAGTTAGCTTTTCTTATCCCCCTCCCTTTTATGCTGTGTTTCTTCATTTTCTCTCCTTTTTCTTTCTGACTGGATCTAGTTTTCTTGTCTTTTAGAGCTCTTTCTTGGTTTGCCGTTGGATGCTATTACTTCTGCATTAAAAAGTATGACCAAGCACGAAGACATTTTTGGTAAATCTCTCTATCATTAAGGTGTATTTATCTCTTTTCTTGGAGGAAATTATTGCACTTACTTTGTAAATTATGAGACATTTACTCTGAAGACATTTTCACTAATAGCGCTTATTAGTCATTTACACTATATACCCTTCCATTCCATTAATTAGTTTTTACTTCTTTTCTTTTTTTTCTTTTCTGATGCTGATGACTGAAATGCCTCCTAATCCATTTGTCGCTAGTACTTAATTTGATCAACAACGTTCTATTCTCCCAAAGACTTCACTAGGCATGAGTTGTTTGATCTAAGAATTTTGATTGTGGTATGACTTTAGACAAAAGTGAACTTGTTCTCCACTGATTTTTGTTTTATTCGCTACAATATTACATGCTGGACAGTTGGACAAATGCAAAACCAATGCTAGATCCTTCTGTTGTCATATTATTTATATATTTATTTTTCTCTGAGTAAACATTTGGCCTGAAAATCTTAACAGAGACCTGGGTGGCTAAGCTCCTCTACGAGGTTCCAAACTCGTTGGATACACTTTGTAGGGTAGTAAAATGCATGTTCTTATCTGTTTTGCCTATTTGACAACGCGGAGAAAAAATCCCTTTAACCAGCCAATTTCAATTTTGTCTGAGTAAAAAAAAAAAATCAATTCCTTGTCTATTTCCTTTCACCTTAATTAGAACTCTTTGTGCAGTAAGGCTACAAACCTGGATGGAACATTTCCGCCTGCTTGGATAGGTTTGGGAAATTCATATGCATCCCAACAAGAGAGTGATCAAGCAATGTCTTCATATCGGACTGCAGCTCGCTTATATCCAGGGTATTTTGTTACTGGCAGTTCTGAACATAGTATCTTTTACTAACTTTTCATGTATTTTATATTGGAGCTAATCGTTTCTTGTGTGTGACATGATTTAAAAATTAACAGATAGGTAACAGAATCAATTTTGTGGATTTACCTTCTGATATATTAATGTGTTGACATCAGACACACACATGCATGCATGCATGCATGCACACACGCACATGCGCACACCGACACGTGCGTGTGCGTGCACACACACACACATACAAGCACACACGTGCACGCATCCATCCACAAATGCAACAGCCCACACACATACAGAAACATACACACACATAGGCACACATGGAAAATGAGTAGTGCATGTGTGTGAGTTAGATTTAACTATACATATATGCAGAAAATCTGTTTACGCATGCTTTCTGACATCATGTTGCCTCTGGCCTAAATGTTGTGGGTATGTGCACAATTTATTTTGCCAGGTTATTATCTAGGGTCCTAGTCAGCCACTTGTGATAAAACTGTAGCTTGCAATTTAGTACTCTGCCGTAGTCTGTACCAATTTTATAGAAAAATATAATCATCATCATTGTTACTATGGTCATTGTTGTTGCCAACATCATCATGATGTTTGGAGCACTTTGTACATTTATACTTATATAGGTGCAATTTACAAGATGGGCCAGCTTAATTTTTTCATTCCAAATAGTCTATCACCATCTACAACATTTAAACTGCCTGTTTTTTGAATGCATTGTATCTGTCAGGTGATAGAGTAGCTATTGTGTTATACATTGTTCATTTTGTTTCCTTTAATGCGCACATGATCAAAAGGATTCCATTCTTTGATTTATTTGTTTTGCTATATTTTGAAGGTTACCACTAGTGATTTGAATACTAGTTTCAACCTTATTAGAAATTATGGGGCATATTTGAACAGTTGTAATTTTAGGTAGAAAATTTTCTCACATGAAAAGAATGGAGAACACCTTTCCACATTGCTACTGCTGATTGCATGTTATATTTGTGCCACTCGATTAAAATTATTCAGTGAATTTGTGTTGATTTTGCAGTGCAAACTTTCTTGGTTGATAATTCTTTCTTGCAGACAAATTTCGTGTTTAGGCTTTATTCTAAATCTTGCATTTTGATAGATAATATTTGTATCTACAATTTGTGGTGGTTCTGATATTTGCAGCTGTCACTTACCTATATTATATACTGGGATGGAATACATGCGAACACATAATTTCAAACTCGCAGAGCAGGTATCATTAGTTTTCAGTGCATGATTTTTTCATGAAATCTTTTACTGTGTGATTTAAATCATAACTATCTGGAGTTCTCTAAACTCTTCTTTGTCTGTAGAATCTGCTATTGTTTTAACATATTTTGCTTTTACAACTGCACTTACGAGCAGTGTTGTAAATAGCGGCCAATAGCGGGGCTATAGCGGCGCGAATAGCGGTCGCGGCCCTTCAGCGCTACGCGTAGGGGTTTCGCGGCTGGCTTAAGCGGGAAAATCCGCTATTCATTCGAATAGCGCGTAAAATCGGATTTTAGCGGGTTAAAAGCGGGTTTTCGCGGTTAAAAGCGGATTTTCGCGGTTAAAAGCGGATTTTTGTTGTTAAAAGCGGCTAAACCCGCTAAACCCGCTATCACACATATTATGATGCTATATTTCTTGAATTTCTTCATAGTTTCATTCATACAACAAGCTTATTAATTGTTATTTATTGATAATACAAGAAATTTACAACTAATTGAATTTTTAGATTTTTTAATGAATTTTTTTATTATTTAGGATATTTAAATATATTTAAATTTGACCGCTATTTGACTGTGCGCTATTTGCCGCGATTTCGCCGCAATAGCCCGATATAGCCTTAGCGGTACCTCGCCGCGACGCGCCGCGATCCGCTATCAGCAACCTTGCTTACGAGTCTGATTTCTTCATAGTCCGTCCCAATTATCTTAACTATCCCTTTCTTTTTATCAGTCTTTTAAAACATATTATTATTTCCAGTTTTCAGGAGTTGTGACGGACTTGCTTCTTTCATGCATCCTATTCACTTGATAAAACTTCCTCTGAGATTTAAGTATCGAAATATCTCATATTAAACAAGTCCTTTTGATGCTCAGAGTGCTTTTATATGATCAAATTATATTTTGGAATCCCTTTCCTATTACCAATTTTGATTCAAATAAACCAATACTAGCTTACTATTCTTGTCAAAGTAATAAAAACAGTTATCCATTAAGCTTCAAATGAAGCAGCTGTATGCTGAAAATGCTTCCTCTGCTTTAGTTTTTTCTGCAGGCAAAAACAATATGTCCTTCAGATCCTTTGGTATATAACGAACTTGGAGTTGTTGCGTATCATACGAAGGAGTAAGACCATTGACCTCTTTTAAATTATGCTTGATGGCCACTATAAGCTAATAATACTTACTATTTGGGTCGCAATTTTCTTTTATTATTAGGTCTTTCTGGAAGCCATTTTTTTATTGAATATTCATTTAGGAATGTCACATGGGCATGATATGTAGCCATATGAATACATTTTCACATAATATATACTCATAGATGCTTAGATACTTATTTTTCGTTTTCTTTCTTTTTTTGTCAAAACAAAGGTTGTAGCTGGGTCATGAACCTGAGATTTCTCTTTATCCGATCTCCTACTTTATTAGTGAAGCAGGTCGCTGGCTCTTTGATACCTAGCACACACATGCATACACATTTTACATACACTTTTTTGACATGCTTGTCTGTATGCGCATGGATGTGGGCTCAGAAGCCTGTTCTGAACAAACTATTTGCTCCGAACGGGTAGATCTTCTCTATGTGTACTGACAATGCTTCATCAATTGTATATTAGACATGCTTCCCCAACCTGACTATATATAAAATAAACATCTGAAATGTCCTTTGCCTCTGCTATGCTTAATATTGTTAATCTAAATTTCTATATTCATGTACTTCTAGGCAGAAGTTGTAATAGATGTTTTTATCTTGGTATCTTTCTAACCCTGTAGGCTTCCACACTTATTTGAGGTGGCAAAATTGTTGATATGCTTAAGTTATTTTTTGATAAAAATATTACTATCTTTTTAGTGGTGATTTTTTGATGACACTATTAGTATCTGTTTAGTGGTGATTTTTTGATGAATGTGGGTATCTTAGTGGTGATTTTTTGGTTTTATGACTTTAACTTGTGATTGTTTTGTTTGTTTACCCATGCTTGTAGTTATCAAAAAGCCATTCAGTGGTTTGAGAGGACTTTGGCTCATATTGCATCTTCACTTAGTGAAGTGTGGGAACCAACTTTGGTGAATCTTGCTCATGCACAGAGAAAGCTAAAGTATGTCTACATTTGATTTATCAATTTTTTGGTGGAAATATCAAATTTATTCAATTGATTTTAGATTTTTATCTCTTTCTTAGACTTCTATATGTGAATATGAACAATGTATACGCATGCATACGCGTAGACACTTGTAGCCACTCTCACTTTACCAATCTTTTTTAGCTTTTCCTTTCTATGTTCATCGCATTCATTCGGTCGTAATACCAACTATAGGCTGCTGGAGAAAGTTCAGTACTTCGGCTTCTTAGTCTATTCTATAGCTTAAAGACTAATAGAGTTTTTGTTTTATCTGAACAGGATGTACCATAAAGCAATTTCCAATTACGAGAAGGCGTTGGCTCTTTCAGCTCGAAGTTTGAGCACCTATGCTGGTCTCGCTTACACATACCATCTGATGGTATATCCCTTGCAAAGCTATTCTCCATTTTGTTCTAGTAATTATAGTCTTTTCTCTTGGTGTTCATAAAACTTAAAAGATGAAAGGTTGTCTTGAAATGATTGTTTAAAGTTATACACCAAATCATCTATGAAGATGGATAATGCCAAAATGATAACAATGGCGTTTTCAGATTTAGTTCCAGCAATGTTGTGTTGTCAACATTCTAAACTTTCTGTTCTCCGTTCTCAGGATAACTTGGATACTGCAATTATATACTACCACAAGGTTAGTTATTATGTGCTTCATGTCACTAATTTTACGTAATTGCCTTAAATCTTATTTTTTTAGGGGAAAAGCTGGTATCAGTCTTTTTGTTGTTATGTAAAAGCTGTTAGTTCACAAGATGTGGCAATCACATCTCCATTCTCCTGTGTACTTGTCGATGTCTGATGTACTCATGAGACCGCAAAGAGTTATTAGAGTCCAAGGGACCGTCTCTTTTACTTTAATATTAAATCTCTTATTGTACTGAAGCCTTGAATTCATGATAAAACTAGCATCGCCAAGCAATCTCTTTTTATTTTATTTTATTTTATTGTGGCAGGCTCTACACTTGAAACCGGATGATCACTTCTGTACAGAGATGCTCACACTAGCCCTAGAGGAGGATTGTAGAGGCTCGGGTAGGAGGTGAAATGTAAACTTGGCTGACATGAGCATATGTGGTATTCTCTTGTTGTGTTGATGCTTTGTATTCTAGTAGCAGGTAATGCTTTAGCCTCAAATATAGAAGTTAACAGTAGAAACTTCCCCACTACTTTCGGCCTAAGGCCCCGTTCAATTTACCAAAAAGAAAAGAAAAAGAAATTTCCTTACTATGATCCCGTTGTCCTTTTCTAAGTTTGCCTGTGATTCTCTCCTTGTTTTGTTCTCTCAAACAGGTCCAATCGATGAAAGTGTTGATGCGTGCAGAAAAGAAGCTGGGGGTTCAGCTCGCAGATTCCTTATCCAATGGAAGTCTGGACAGTGTGCGGGGTTGCTCATACACCATTGGTTCTAATTTTGAGAAATTTTGTTGTGTATTAATAGAAGACGTAATGTATTTGTAGATATTATGGACAATGAGTCTGCCGGCCATTCGGGTCCTTTTTTAATTATTGAATAGTTATGAATACCTTTCTTCTTTTCTCTTTTGATGCTTTCTGTGATGTTTTTCATGAAATATGGTCATTTTCTACATGTAACCTTTGTAACATCCTTGCGGTGTGGATGGATTCTGATTATTGTCACCAAATAAGATATTACTCAGGTTATCTTGAAAATAAAAGTAAATATTTTTTACCGGGACACTTGGAACGAGGTACTTTTAGTAACTATTGTCACGGAAGAAACTCTTGTACCGGATGGAATTTTAGGGAAATGCCCAAAGGACTCCAAATATGGGACGGGGGGAGGGGACAGGTGAGGTGTCCCCATTCCCACTGCATGATACATTGTTTATGAACAGTGTATCATGCAGTGGAGAGGGGACACCTCACCTGAGTGTATCATGCAGTGGAGAGAGGACACCCCCCCTGGTCCCATATTTGGGGTCCCCTAGCACTACTCGGAATTTTATGATGCACTTGCTTGATGTTAGGCAAAGTGATGGGCAGATTCCTCGATTGCGTCCCTACTCGTGCACGTATACAGAGAGATTGGTTCCTAAATGATAAGATGATTGATGGTGTGAGTCTTTCTACGAATTATATGGATTGCAAAAGTAGGATTCAAATTTGTTGTGGTGTTCCTAGAACTTTCTCCAAATGTACAAGCATTGATTTCCTTGGATATGCATGCTCTCTTCGAATAGATGGAAAAAAGTGCAGTCAAAGACTTCTGACACCACAGTTTTCATTGCGTGCCGCAGTTGTTAACAATAAATAATTAAAATAATTAAGTATCATAAAAACAAAATCAAGACCATCTTATCACCCTTGCATGAGTTACTTGATGAGCAAAGAACCTAACAAGAAGTGGGGGATTCAAGGGATAGAACAATATAATCGCAACATTGATCTGAATTTCTGATATTTTTCAATATATTTCGGACTTGAACTTGCACAAACAAAACATCAAAATTCTTAGAAAGTTACATCTCATGATAACTGCAAGATCTGAAAGTGCATCGTGTAATAGCTTGCCCTACGTGTGGATATTTTTGAATCGTTACGAAGTACAATGCATGCCAATTTTGGGCACCAGAACATTCCATTAGTGGGGCCAAAACGATATATCACATCATATACACAAGACATCACCCCTCCACTTCCCAGGAATTAATCCACACCAAATCACATTCTTGACTTACAACCAACAAATCGCTCGATTCAGATTACAACACAAACAGCAGTGAACTGATCTTCCTCCAAGCAAACAGACCGAGTTGACTGAATTTATCCATGCCGATCTTAAAGGTCTGAACCTCCAATGTACGGCTCCTTATGTTCCATTGAAGCAGGCGAGTAATGTATTTTTACCAGTATGAGTATCTTTTTTCACTGGAACTCAAGATGATATGGGCTCATACGGATAGGATAGCCATGGGTGCTTCAATGCTTCTGATGCAGATGGACGCTTTTTAGGGTTTACCTCGAGGAGATGAGCAACAAAGTCAATGAAACCCTGGTCTCCCATAGGCAATCGATGACGTAGTGATGACTTCTTAGGGATCAAGTACTCTAGCCTATTAGTTTCCTGAAATAAGCAGAGATTGAGCAAATGTGCTGACCTTGTAATAAACTATAACATGTCTGTGACGTACTAAGAAACCAACAGACAAATGTTCTTTGGTCTGAGAATTTGGCTAGAAGGATCCAGCATTATATCCTTATTTTCATATCATTTATTCCATTAGATAGGTGGCATTTGCTCCTCCCTCAATAACGTATATAACATGTAAAGTTCTTTCACTGATGAGATATCGCAGACTGAAGCATTAAGGGCACAAGCACACTTGGGAGCCTTGACAGCTCAGATGTTCCACAATTGTGAACTGATTAATGTGCATACTGCTCCTTGTAGAAACTTTTGTGTCTATTATAGTTACTTAATTACAAACCGAAATATCTTATATCAGATGGTTACAGAATGCTGAGAGTAATGATTATACACGCCTATGCAAAAAATACTAAAATTTATATGTTAATAATTGAAGGCACTTAAATTAACTGAAATTTCTACAAGTGACAATTGCATTTCATTGTGTTACTATATAAGGGAGCGTCTGTTACTGCTAATTTATTCTAAACAACTTCAATAGGTTATATAGGAGAAAAACAAAAAGGTCCATACCTGATTCCTTTCATATAACATGTGGTTCTTCGTAAAATATTTGTATGTGTCACGTCCCTTCGCAAGCATGGCTTGATCAATGGGACCTATAATCCCTATCACACGTGCAAGTAGAGTAGCAGGAGAATCATTTTGGAAGAGGACCTGCAAAAGACGAATGGTTAATGAAGTTCCATTCTGCATTCATGGGTGGGCTACAGTAACATTGCTCATGAAGAAAGTTAAATAAAAATCCAAAGAGGCAAGAAGATATTCCTTCACATGAAAAAATAAATACACAAGTAAAATTGAAGGTTGAAATTTATTTGCATGGCATGTTTATAAAAAAAGTTAAGAGAACGGCTTCAGTGATATGTTCCTCTCCATCACAGTGGCATGATGTTGAAGATCCGTGGCAGCTTAGCCTTTGTCTGCTGGCATTCCCCTAACAACACCAGCACTAGATTATTAATGACCTCTTGAAAATATTTCCTGCCACTGCCATCAAGATTTTGGCGTGCTAATTCAAAATCTGCTGAGCAATCACTAATGATCAAACTCCTTGTTGTGACCCAACTTATCATTTCCAAACACCTTTAAATTTCTATATAGAAAAGCTCAAACATGAATAGAAACTCTCTAGTCTGAAGAAATAAAACTTCTGATCAAGCTTCATAGTAGTCTCAAACGCAGGAGATCATGAAACTTGGCATCTTATAAGATTTGAAGGAACAATATGTCACTGATTCACTAGGGTTAAATTCTAACAGATAATCGAAGGATTCCCTAAACTACAGCATATTAAGATTCTATTCGGATTCCCACATGGACCACACGTAAATATATAAAGAGGTATTAGCAGATGAATCAGCTAAACAACTACATATAGTGTATACAAATAAACAAAAGTATGAAATGCCCCTTGGTCCCACATAAGCAACTAACCCTAGTAATGTTTCTCCTGACTGTAGGTTCATACCATAAGAAGACTTAAAAGAAGTTAAGGAATGAACATGTGCATTTACTTTGAACCAGCCAGAATTGAAATAGATAAAAAAAGTCACAATATCCCTATTGAACTATTTCTCTCTGAAAATAAGACAAGAAAACCAAGAAAGAAATATTGAAATTAAGATTACAAGAAAAAAAAAACAGTTAATGGATGTACATACGTTTCCCGTGCAAAGTTCAGCCAAGATGCATCCAAGTGACCATATATCTATCTTTTTATCATAGGGCAGGCCTAAAATAACTTCAGGCGCACGGTAGGATCGAGATTGCACATAAGAACATAGATGATCTGTTTGGAAGCAACTACTACCAAGGTCAATAACCTTTACTTCACACCTACTGTAGCTTTTTACCAAAATATTCTCAGGCTTCAAATCACAATGTATTAGGCCAAGACGATGCAAATATTCAAGTGCCTCCAAACACTGAATAGTAATCGACTGCAAAAAGAATATCATCAAGAACTTAATGCTCGTTCTAAGGATAAAAACAAAAATTAAAGAACATATCTTATGGCTTACAACCTGCAGCCTTGGCATAGTGAAATAAACTTCTCCCCCTGATTCCCGATTGAATTTGTGAAATTCATATAAGTTCGCCTTGAGCAGCTCACAAACTATCAGCAAATGTTCCTGCAAAACTCAGCTAAAAGCGTAAGTCAACATAAGGACGAAAAAAATAAACAACCAAAATACAGTAAACAGATGAAAAGATTAGTTATTCTCCAGAGTACTAATATACTGATACTATAGGAAATAGTTGAAAATATAGAAATTCAAAAAGATTTCATAAACCAGGACGGAGCATTAAAAAAAGCCATATAAACCTGTATGAACAGACATGATACTGAGATGGACAGGTTATTCCTCATGAGAAAATTACATGTCTATAATCTTTAAAGCATGGGGAAAAAAGGCTAATACCATTTGGAAGAGAGAAAGGATACTGCCACAAATTTCGACCAAATAGATTAGCTCTGAACATTTGTAAACACCATAATCAAGATAATAACTATTAAAGTAATAGAAGAATGCCTAGAATTTGTGATTCATAAGTCAAACCAAATTAAGCTAACTGATAACTGCAGTTAAGGAAACGGATCTACTTTATGAACAGTAACATGATATATCAGCAAAAACACCTGCTGACAAACACATACATTCGTACAGACAAACATTCACACACTCTTTGCTGTTAGCAGTTAGCACAAAAGCAATCCATCAACTTGAGATCACATATTTAGTTTTTTAAAGATTAAATGATACACATCAAAATCAGTAATAGTGTAATACTGAGATAAACTTATTCAGAAATGGAACTAATTTGAAGAAGCAAAAAGCTTGCTCACCCGATAATAGAAGTAGTCATACAGGCGCAAAAGATGATACTTGTCTGCAGGATCATGCTTGTTAACGAATTTTAGAAGCTTAATTTCATCAAGACTCTGGTCGAAAAAGTCTTTATTGTTCTTTATTATTTTCACACAAACATCCATGCCAGTGTGCAAGTCATGAGCCTGAATAGCTTTGCTAAACGCAGCTGATCCTAGGTATTCAGTGACATGATAACGTCCAGCAATCACTGAATTAAGAACAACGTGGAAATTCTTGTCTTCCTCGAACCCCGTTCTGACACATTGGCAAATATATACATTAGGGAGGAAAATACCAAGCCACTGTAAAGAAACCAAAAGGAACAGAACTGAAAGCTAAAGCTTCTCCCCATTGAAAGATCCACTATAGAACATAGGCTCACTAAGGTTTATATATTTATACCTTAATCCAATAATTGTAGGGAATTAAAGGTCACTTTATGAGGATGAAAATACCTGTTTTTTCTATGCACAATCTTAAGGTTGAAGGTTTCGAATTCCTCCTCTTGAGCTTTAATTTGTCTAACTTGCTCCTGCAGTGCAGCAGCTTCTTCATCTTCCAGTGTTGCCCCAGCATCTGTTTCTATCACATCATTTAGTTCGCCAACTTGGTCTCTCTTGAAACCTTCTCTTTCAGCATAAGCATAGTTTGAGTCTGACGATGCACTTGTGCTTCTTGATCTAATAGTATCAGAAAACTTTTCATCCCTTGAACTTCTTATAGGAGAATGACCACTACCTTGTCGCCTCCATGTAGCGAGCATATCCTCTGCACTGGTAACTTTCTTACAATCATCGTTTACATCAGCAACAGAAGCTTCAGATTTTCCTCCTTTATTTCGAGGGGGTGGAAAAGAAAAGCCAGCATCGATATAATTCGTTGATGGCAGACCGTTATTCTTGTCAGGAGCCAAGGGATATTTATCTGGCAATTGTTTAGTTTTCTTCTTATCCCTTTTTGATATATTAAAATTGTTCAAAGTTATGTCATGTTCAAAATCCCTGCTACCACTGATGCCAACACCATGCTCGTGAATGTATTCAATGTCTCCTTCACTGCTTCCACCAACCAAACTTTCTCGTCTTTCACTGCCAAAATCAGCAGTGTCACTGTTTATGCCAACCCCAACTGACCTAACAGATCCATGCTGATCATCCTCTATGACAAGATCATCGTGCTGAGGCCGTTCACAATCATTCCCAACTTTACCATTTCTGATCATGGATAATTCATTGCTTTGGTTAACCAAACCCTGCCACACAGGCTCACTGCGCATTAAATTTAACTCTTCAGCATCCAACAATTGCCCATCATAGCGAGCTATCAGATCATTTTCATTTGACGCAGCAACTTGGTGAATGTTCTTTCCTGGGAAATATTGCTCGCCTGACAAGTATGATTCCTCTTCAGCAAAAGATTGATCATCGTCTTCATCCTTCCTTGGAACTTGGTCTTGCTGTTCAGGGACACTCCCATGAGCTGTGCCCTTTTCGTTGTCGCTGGGATAGTCAATCTCATGAGCTAGGAACCAGGTTTCATCTTCAATAGGCTGTCTCATGTACCCAACATCATCGTCGTCATCATACTCATCAGAATCCCAGTACTCATTTGGATAGTCTGCTAAGCCATCACCAAGAGTAGCAAAACCAGATACCAGATCAGAAGTATCTTCCGCAATTCCTCGACTTACAGAGAGCCAGCTACTTCCAACTGTTCGCTTCCCACCTGTTCAAGTGATAATCCAATGAACATATAAAATCAGAATTCTGACACACAGAAAATGATCCCACATGGTCACAAAGGTGTAGAGAGAGAGAGAGAGAGAGAGAGAGAGAGAGAGAGAGGACATTAGCAACTATTATATGCATCGCATCTCCTTTTATAACCTAAATCAATAGAATGGCTCTCAAATATTATACGGATTACATTTCCATTTTATAAAAGATATGACACCAATATAGTGAGAGCATGATGAAATACGGGGGGAAAAAGAAAGAAAGAAAAAAGTATAAATTATGGTTCTTTACTGGTACTAAAATAAGCCTAAAAGCAACGGGTATCAAGAAGGAAGAACCTATATCTAGTAAGATAAGAGATTTCAGATGGTAACCTCTGAGTGATAACCACACTAGAAACTGTTAAGTTTATCTATCAATGTACCTGAAGAGTTGATATCCTGGCCGATGGGAACATCCAAAAAAGACCCGATCAGTAAAGCATTGTCTGCACTTGACTGCTTCATTCCAGAGCCATGGGTGTCACCCTTTGCCTCCCAATCCATATTTACCAACTTGTCAATAGACTTGAGACGTACAGGAGGTAACCGTGGCAGATCTTCCCTATGGTTTCCAGAAATAAGTGACATATCAAAGCTCCTGCAATTTTTCTGGTTCAAACTCTCCTCAACTGCTCCAGAAATATAAGGCATGCCCATATCATCTGGTTGCTCTTTTGTTGCTTCACTGATTTCATTATGGTCTGCTTTCTTATTACTCTCCATTCTATTACCACGATTATATGAAGTTAGATCGTAACTGGTTGATGCATTGTTTGATGAAAGTGGGAAAAGTGTCTTGACCGAGCATTCCTTTGACAACTCCTCCCTTTTGGACCATGGATTCTCCATTGCGCAGTCATTAGAATCACTTTTTTCGTTGCTCTCACCATAAGTGCTACTTTGTTCGCTCAAAATTTCTGGTTTACTTCCAACAGACTTCATCTTATTCAGCATCAATTGGCCTGGCCGAGACTTCGCTTGCTCAGAAATCATAAGCTCAGAGAAGTTGTTAGCAACGTTATCACTGTCCTTGGAAACATAATTGGAAGCACTGTTAATGGGACTAGGGTTCCAAGGATAAAGATCTGCCAAGTTGCTTAAAGAACCCTGATTAAGACCAAACTCTTTCTTGTTCTCTGACCGATTTCTACTTCTTCCTCCTTCAATATCCTTGACAATGAACTCCTGGGAGATATCATTGCTCCTTCGGGTGCCTATATCTTGTTGATTTGAATTAGTAGCTGGTCTAGTTTCTTCTCTCACTTCTTTTCTCTCCTTGGAAAGATATTTGTCAAAGGACTCATCGAAATTGGGCCAGCTACCAAGTTCCCCTTTCAGAGCAGCCTCCGCCTTTGTAAACCGGTTTTTTCTCAAGAATTCTAACACTACATCCACCGAGTCAGCCATAGAAGAATTCAAAAAACCTAGAAAGCAGCTGGCGCCACCTGAAACCAAAACAAAGCAATGGATGGAGATTTCGTGAAGATCTGCATAGTGTGAAAAACCCTATTATTATGAATCAAGTATTTTGTTCCCACTATGAAACAAAAAGCAAAAAACCATTTTGTAAATTAATTATGTGTGATGGACTTACAACTAGAGTGAGAACAATTAAGGAAGGGACACAATCATTTTCTTTTACCATCATTTAACATCAACAATCGGTTTAAAGTCGTTATATTTTTGCATTAATTATTTCTGAAATCCCATGGCGTATGTTATTTGCTGACGACATCAGATTAGTTAACAACACTAGGAAAGGGATTAATTATAAAGTACAAAGATGGATAGCAGCTCCTGAATCTGAAGAACTTAGAATTAGCATAACGAGAACATAGCATGCAATGCAAATCTAGTAAAACTGTGAAAAAAGATTGAGCATATAGTACATCTTGACAGTGAGGAAGTGTCTAGAGGCAATAACTTTGCTGTTTAGGACCACTAATTGTTGCTGTTTTACTTTATTTTTTTCTCTCTCTCCAGCAAACCCAACCCCGTCAGCTCTATAATCAATGAACAACGAATGAACCCGGTTGCATAAAAAGAGATCTTTTCTCTGGCACCATGAAGCACTCTCTCAATTTCATCCTCCATCGGCATTCTTCGAGGAAAATTGACAACTTAGAACATTAAATAGCGACGCCTTACATTATTTTTCTTCCCCTTCAGTTCCTTCAACTTGAACTAAATACAAACTAGTTACTAAAAGCAGAATCACCCACAACACGTTAAAGACGAATTCAGTAAGTAATCAAGGCGAATGGGTAGATATACTAAAAAAAAAACCCGAATCTAGCATCAAATAACTAATTAAATCTAGAGAAACCCGTCTAATACAAGCTAACCAGGCTTAATAGAACATCATAAATCTCCTTCCTTCCTCCACTGAACTCAAATAACTAGAAAAATCCAACTTCAAATCTAAAATCCCGGGATCAGAACCCTAACCCCAGCTCCAAAGGACAAGCCCAAAACCCTAGAACCTCCGACGGGCGGCGGCAATACCGAGGCCGCCCCTATCTCGAGATCCACAGCTCCAGAACCTCCAAAACCCTAGCCTCAAAATGCTAACCCTAGATCGCAACAACAGGCAAAGAGAGAGAGAGAGAGAGAGAGAGAGAGAGAGAGACTCACTGATCGAGGGAGGAGACTCGCGCGCGAGAGAGGAGAGGAGGAGGCACGTGCGCCCGCGGAGGACGGCGGGGGAGGTCACGTGAGCGGCGGGGCCGGCGGCATTGCGGGGGTGAGAGATTTGGTTAAGGTGATGCTGATGCTGACGACGATGCGCTCTCTAGACTGGACTTAGCAACGGGATTGGTAACGACATAGCAAATTATAATATATAATATATATATATATATATATATATATATATATAGAGAGAGAGAGAGAGAGAGAGAGAGTGAGAAAAATGAGTATACTTGGTACCAAGGATCCTTGGTAGTGATGTGGACACATCTTGTCCATACATCACACCTTGAAGATGGAGCCTCACCAACTTCAAGGTGTGATGTATGGACAAGATGTGTCCATATCACTACCAAGGATCCTTGGTCCAAGTATACCCATATTCCTCATATATATATATATATATATATATATAGTTAAGGGGCATATATCACTTTCATTTTCGTAATAATATATATGGCCATGTGAAGATTATTTCTATGTGTTTAGCTTGTAGATGGATAGTACGAAAATTGCTACAGCTGACTATTTTTATGCTTTCGTTTTATAGCAAAGATAATAGGGAGACAATTGGACAGTTGATTCTTGTTCTTCTTTGTTGATGTAAATATGATGGGAATTAGAACCAAAAAACAGCATAAAGAGGCATCTTGAAAGTCCATGGGGGGTTTAGTGTAATTTACCTAAAATATCATGGTGGGTCTCTGCAAAAGTGATTGAACAGTTAGGGTGATTATGGAAGTTCACGGGGGTTTACTATAAAACACTGAAAGTTTATGGGGGTTCAGTGTAGTTTACCATAATATATCCTATAAAGAGAATTCTGTACATGATTTTTTTTTTCATGTGTGTATAGTGGGACAAATTTTCAAAACCAACCTATTTGGACTTTTATTCCCAAAAAAAGACCCGTTTCACATTTATTTAGAGAAACCGACCTGGTTTCAGCCTCAGCGCTGAAACCAGGTCGGTTTTTGAAAAAAACTCTCCGAAACTTCACGGGAGTTGAACTCCCGTGAAGTTTTTTGAACTACGAAACTTCACGGGAGTTCAACTCCCGTGAAGTTTCGGAGAGTTTTTTTCAAAAACCGACATGGTTTCAGCACTGAGGCTGAAACCAGGTCGGTTTTTGCAATTATTTTTGAATGGGGTCGTTTTTTGGAAATAAAAGTCCAAATAGGTTGGTTTAGAAAATTTGTCCGTGTATAGTGTACTTAAACCTACATGCCCCAAGTTGGGCCCATGAAGCTGAATATAATGACCTCAGCCTTGGTGGGGCCCACACCCAATCGACGGAGGATGTTTGTTCTCGGCCCAGTGGACAGTGGCATTGCGATAAAATGAGATCGCAGGAGTTGTGGTCGGCCGGCCCGATAAAAAATTCCTTAACTTTCACTACCTTCACAGGAAGAAGCTGAGAACAAAAAATTCAGAGCCTTATTTCCTTCTTTGATTCTTATTTTCATTTTAATATCTTTCCATCAAACCAAACTATACAAATCTCTCTTTTTTTTCCCCATCATTCTCAGTCAAACCAAATAGGGCCTTATTGTAAAAAATAGTATATAAGAATATCTTATAACAAAAGGATCTTGCATCTAGTTTTGATAGCCATGTTCTGCTCTCCATAGTTGTCGAGTTGTGTTGAGCCTATAGCAATTGATGGACGCTGTTCCCAAATTGCTTATTAGAATACTTATGATTTTTTGTGGATGAGCGAACTATACTCACAAATTTGTGAATATACTGTTGAGGTTTTTTTTGGCTAAAAACAAGGAACATCCCTTTTGGGGTGTGTGTGTCTGTGTTTGTGTGATTAATGATTATCATATGTCATATGAGAGTATTCCCTCATATACAATGATGTGACACAATCTCCACTAAGTGTGGTTATGATGCATCCTCTCTCCTATTTTATTGATTTGACGGAGATTGTGCCACGTCATTGTATATAATAGAATCCCCTTATATGACATATGATACTCATTAATCTCTCTCTCTCACTCACTCTAGATATATTATATATATATATATATATATATATATATAATATTATATATATATATATATATATATGAGTGAGCGGAGAGAGAGATGAGGAGAGAGAGATATTTAATAGGGCTATCCCTTGTATGAGGAGGGATTTCCATCCTTGCACATCTAAATCACAATGAATCTGACTCATTAATGGATGTCGTCCGTTGAACTTGTTTTTCTTAATATCTAACCCAAACACCACAAGTTTGGGTGAATCCGTCGTCGCATCTTGGACCCGTCCATCGAGCCTGTGAAAAGTTCCTATTCATTCAAACGTTAAAATTGATAGAGTTGGATGACAGGGTCAAACGACGACGGGTGTCACCCTAAACTTTGGGGTGTTAGGGTGTTAGAATATGTAGATCAAGTTCACGGAACGGCATCATCACACATGATACTAAATCAGTATGATTTTAGAGGCCTCATAGACGAACCCCTCCTATACAAGATACCATAATCTCAGTATACATATATATATATTATATATATACTTATATATATATAATATATATATATATATATATATATATAAGATATAATATATATATATATATATATTAGAACGAAAAACTATGCTAAAAAAGGATACAAGCTTGTGTCCAAAAAGTGATCATCAATAGAACTATGATTTTTAAAGCAAGGAAAACGATCTTCTCTAATGAGTATCTATGAAGGTGAAGAGAGGACCTTATGGTCATTCACCGCAGTCATAGATGCATAGAGGACATTGTTCATGGATGATCGCACTATATTGACAAATTTGTGAATGTACTAATGAGGATCATGTAAGGGGCTGTTTGGTTCGTTTTTTAACTCGGTGGAAAAGTTTTACATCGCCTCCACATCAGATTTTTCGTGGTCACGTAGGATATAAGCTTTTCGTTGGTTTTTTTTTCCATCTTTGGTTCGCTAGGGTTGAAGAAGGAAAACTCGGTGAAAAACACCGCCACATCAGATTTTTTTTTCTCTCCCCCAATTCCTTCCTCAACCCCGTGAATCGACGAAAACTGCAGCCACGTTGACTTTTTGCCATATAAACAAAAGTTTTCCATTTTTTTTCATGCGAACCAAACACAAGAAAAATAAATACATTGGTTTCCCACCATTTTTTTTATGCGAAACAAAGTGAAACAATCTATTTCTTGGAAAAGTTTGGAAAACTCAAAACTTGTGTTTTTGTACATGGAAATGTATTTCAATCTATTTCTTGGAAAAGTTTGGAAAACTCAAAACTTGTGTTTTTGTACATGGAAATGTATTTCCCTATATCTAGGAAAAAAACTTGTGTTTTTGTACATGGAAATGTATTTCCCTATATCTAGGAAACGAACCAAACAGCCCCTAAGGGTAACAGTTCTACATCAGACACACAATGAAACAATAATCTGGAATTACATAGGAAGTTTGGTATTAATATCCAACCTTTTCCCCCCAAAAAGAAAAAAAAAGTCTAATCTTTTGAAGTTTTCATTGATTTCATATTATCAAAACAAAAGATCTGGTTACTCCCCAACACACGGAAATTGAGTGATCGAACCAGTCTTGTAGAAACAACATAGGAAGCAAATAAAGTAGAAATTACTTTTGAGCCAGAAGATCAATTTTATGACTTTAGGTATAGCTGCTAAATTTTTTCAAAAATTCATTCAAAAATATTAATTCCGAGAACATGGGAAACGATCCATTCTTTATTAAGTATATACTCTTACGCCTCGTTTGGTACGCGGGAATGGACAGACTTGAGAATGGAATGGAAGAAGAAATGGAATGGAAGAAGAGATTGAATAGATTGCATGTGGGAATGGAATGGTCATTCTCATTCTCTTGTTTGGGCGCGTTCGTAGAATGAAGCTAGAATGGAAATCTCATTCTCATTCCCATGTTTGGTATCACTAGTACACAAGTGAGAATGAAATCTCATTTTCTAATAATGCCCTTACAACAACATAGATTTTTAATAAGATAAAAAATAAACATTAATGATAATAACTAAATAATTTTATATACGTATATGTTATATTAATCTAGGTATGTGTTATACTAATGCTCGTGTTATCCATCAGGTGTATGTTTCGTTTATATTTTTTAAACAATACTCGCTATTTCTTAGTCTTAAAAATTAAAGAAAAATAAAAAAAAAGATTATCGTATCTTTCATAGGGCAAAAAAAAAAGAATGATATCCACAATCCATAGTTCTAGATATATAAATTAACTTATTTGATAAAGTATCAAAATCACTCAATTCATAATAGCAAAAATCCATAAAACAATACCAACTAAAATAATAAGTTTCGAAATAGCAAAATGATATACTAGCCTAAATTGTCAATCTAAAATTGCCCACTTGCATAGCGCCTCACCCAAACATTCTTTATTATTAATATGGATATAATTGAAAAATACCTAACTAGTTTTTGATTCTCACTTGAATGGGAATGACCATTCCTTATCTTCTCACTTGGAATGCTCATTCCCACAAATAGTGGGAATGATCATTTCTAGGGAATGGTCATTCCAACATCTAAAATATAGGTGTGTTTGGTATGAGGGAATGAGAAGTGAGAATTGCATTCCATTCCTCCTCATTCCCGCGTACCAAACGGTGTGTTTGGTATGAGGGAATGAGAAGTGAGAATTGCATTCCATTCCTCCTCATTCCCGCGTACCAAACAAGGCGTTAAAGGAAAGCAAATGACTTTAACCTCTTTAGAGCTTGACATGTCAGCATTTTTCTTCATCTAATTTTTTTACACGTGTACTTCTTTAACAGCCATTCATCTTTACGGAGGTCTATAACCCACCATTGTTTGTCATGTTTTGTTGTTTCGAGCCATTGAAAAATATTTTCGCTAAAGCCAAAATTCATGATTTCATAATATTTAACCTGTGATTTTTTTTATTTTCATTCATTTCAAACCAAAGGACTAAATTTTACAGAGGCAAAAATTTACCAGTTCTTGAGCTATAACCAATAATTTCTTACCACTTATATTCATTTCCACCAATTAGCAAGTCATTTCATGGAATCCAAATTTCATAATTTTGTGAGAACCCATGTTTTTTTGTCATTTTTAGTCATTTTAAGACATTTTGCAAATAATCTCACAAAGTCCAAAATTAAGATTTCATGAGCAGCCATGATTTTTTTTACAATTTTTATTTGTTTGGACTCATTGGTAAATAATTTTGCAGATTTCAAAATTCAGGATTTTGTGATCTATAACCTATAATGTTAGGCCATTTTTAGTCATTTTGACCTATTTAAAAATAATTTTTTGGAGGCAAATTTTCTATTTTCATGTGTTATAACCCATGATTTTTGTCCATTTTCATTCATTTCAACCAAAGAGAAAGTATGATAAAGTGTGCTTTTATAAGAAATTTGAATATCATAAAATATTTTTCATAGCATCCTTAATGTATTTTTGATGAATATGTATTTTTTAAATTCTTAAAGTGTGTTATAGATATTGAATCAAGGAGGTATGAATGTGGTTAGCACTAAACGGTCGGTTCGATTAGGTTCGGTTTTTACCAAACTTTAAACAACCGAACCGAATTGCCTATAATTCAAAATCGAACCGAATCGTTGCAAGTCGGTTCAGTATGGTTTGGTTCGGTTCTAACTTCATCAAACTTGTTATAAAACAACATATCATGTTAAAGGAAAAAAGATATCAACAAAGTGGGAGATTATGAAGCATTAAACACTAATATTATTTTCAACCCATAATGATTCGGGTCCTAAGACTCCTAATAGCTACAAGCAATGAATTCACATCCATCCAAACAAAATGTAAGCATTTCTTAAGCACAAAATTTGTGTTCAAAAGTTTCGTTCCTATGAGCCCACTCCACTATTTCCTACGATAACTAGAGAGGGCCAAAGAATTTATACTTCGACAATAAAATAAAGAATTTAACACCAAGATGAACTTCTTCACAAGAAAAGGCATATAAGGCTATGGAACCGAGAGATCATGTGAGATCACTAAGATGTAGAAGAATGATTTTCAGTTTATACCTTGGCCTCGGCGACGGCGACGGTGCGGGTGCCCCCCCAAAGCCGGAGATAGATCCTGAGCCTGAGGAGATGTTTCGACCTCGACCATGAAGACTACGGAGCGTGACGGAGTGCCGAGCGGTTGTCGGCTGAGGAGTGTGTGTGTGTGTGTGTGTGTGAGAGAGAGAGAGAGAGAGAGAGGACCGAGGAAGTGAGAGAGGCGGTGTGTGTGTGTGTGTGTGTGTGAGAGAGAGAGAGAGAGAGAGAGGACCGAGGAAGTGAGAGAGGCGGAACTGAGGAGTGAGAGAGAGTGAGAGAGAGAGGAACTGAGGAGCGGCGGCTGAGAAAGTGGGAATGAGAGTTTATTTTAGGGTTTGAGACTTTGAGTCTTTGGGGACGGGTCGGGTTTGATTGAGATTCAGAACATGTATATTTTGGACTATGTGGTATTCGGTCGGTTCGGGTCGGTTTTGGTTGAAAAGTTTTTAAACCGACCCGAACCGCCCTACTCATAAAACCGAACCGAACTGTTAATTTTGGTTTGGTTTACGTATATACAAAAAAAAATTATAATGTATCAACAAGCCCTATAAATGAAACTTATTGTGAGGATGATAGTACCTCATAAGAAATAAAACTGATATGAGGGATATTACCTCATATAAATTTAAACAAATAAAGGTAGGCCGTCCATATTAATTTATTCAGAGTGGCACGACTTCTCCTTGTAGTTGCCAAAATTGATGAGCTCAACAAACCTTGTAAATAAAACCAATATGAAGGTAGTACTTCACATAGATCTAAACCAATGAAGGTAAGTGTTCCATATTAATTAATTCAGAGAGGCACATATTCTCTTTGTAATTATCAAATTTGATCAATAAAACTTAATGTGAGGGATAGTACCTCATACAAATCAAAATCAATGTGAGGCGTAGTACCTCACATAAATGAAAATCAAGTTGAGGATGACAACAGTGCCTCATACAAATCAAAATCAATGTGAGATGTAGTACCTCATATAAATGAAAATTAAATTGAGGATGACAGCACCTCATGTAAATTTAAAAGTCATGTGATTATAAGCCTTAGCTACAAAATCTAACTCGAGAATACCCACCCTCATATGAACATTATTTCAATTTGAAGGGATACAGGCTATCCATTACACTTATTTTAGAAACATGAAAGATAAGCAGATAGGCACTTGAGAAATGAAAAGCAAAGAAGATGTTCGTTATGATAAACGAATGTAACAATCTTGATAAGGAAGTTTCGATGAGGAAGCTACAAAAAAACTCCCCCACCAATCCATTTAAACACCTGACGATAACTTCTCATTGGTCTTTCTTATAAATTGAGACCTCATTTAGCGTTCAAAAAAAAAGGAGAAAAAATAATAAAAAGAAACGACAAAAAAGATAGAGAAAAGACAGAGAGATTGAAAAGAATGAGAGACTTAGAATTTGAAACAACAACGACAATGTCCTCTGCATTATTTTTTTTTGAAAGGGTGGAGGGCTGCAGAACATTGTTTGGAGACCCAATATCTCATCTTCTTTCTCTTCAATTTTGTAATACATTAAAAAGATAATAAACTTGATATCTCTCTACATTTTATTCTTGATGTCTATTTAATTCTTTGCTTTCTACTAATCGGGGGTTTATTTCAATAAGAATAATTAACAGAAAGAAATAAATTTCTGGAAGCATGCACCTCCTAAATATTTTTTTTACAAACAAAGTGATACTAATATGTATCAGAGTAAATATTTAGAGATTGCTCTACTCTTCTTGAGATTGGTGCTACGACTTGGTCAAGAAGAGATTAACCTACTCAAATATTATTATTTCTTTGATAAATACTAGCACCACTTTGAATTTTTTTACAAACTATACACGTCGGCCGCTTTGATGCTTACAGTTCAGTCGGTTTTTTTGGTTTGGACCGAACCATGCTCACCCCTAATAGCACGTGCTAAAATACTGGCCACATAAAAAGGATATGAACAAACTCATAACATGTTGACCACGATGCATTCATTACACACATAAAGTACAGTAGAGAAAGTTGTTGAATCATCATCATCATCTATGGAGATGGCAGCTATAAATTAAGGGTTGGCCCTCCTATTGATCACAACATTAAGCAAGGAAAATGGACTAGCGAGCAATTACGGATAGAACCGTTGTACTTCAACTGTCGCAGATTGGTCCTCGAAGTAGAGTTTATTTTTTGCCTCTTTTATCCGGTTGGTCTATTTGTCAAATTAGTTCTATTCATCTGAGGGTAAAAGAGTTGAGAAAATTCATCCACGGGGGACCATCTGCAACAACAAAACTATGGATGGATCTATCCACAATAATACATAGGATATGCACGTGGTCTATCCGCAATGGACCCTAAATTTGTATTAGTGAAGTTCAAATAAAAGAAATGTTAGTGCTGTCCATGAAAGAAAAGGATGAACAAGGTGGACTACAATATACATTGAATATTTAGCAAAATATTATTTTGACAAGGTAAATTCGATAAATATTATTCCACGTGATTTTTCCTTTTAGAAATCAACAAAAAGTCAGATTGAGGTTGGTTGCTTTTCAAAAGTTACCACGAATTGAAACAATAAAGTAGAGTCCATCCTCGCTGTCAAAAGCCATTAATAGTAAGTCAATATTCTTTTGGAGTTTTGCATATATACCCCTCATATCTTCCATATTTGCAAACTTATCCCTAAAATGTTGATATTTGCAACTTCACCCTTCAAAATTAGCATATTGGGCCTTTCTACCTCTCCAACTTAAGAATATTGGTTTTTTAAACAAGGCAATATCAAAATTTCCATTAGGATTGCAACAGTTTCTTGTTTAAAAACTAAAATTGTTAAGTGAGAAGGGTAGAAAATATCAAAGAATTGGAGGGTAATTTTATAAATACTAAGATTTGAAGGGTAATTTTATAAATATGGTAGATTTGAGGGGTATATATGCAAAAACCCCTACTTTTTTTTTCCAAAAAAGGGTCAATATTCTTTAAATTTAGAAATTTTCTGCAATCATATAATATCCCTTTTCTCTAAGGAAGAACTCTTTCTTGCTCTCATTTTTTTAGAAATTCATGGACCTGAATTGCTAAGTTCCAATGACAACGGACCTTACTATTTGCAAAAATTTCTAAAATTATGATAAGAATTGAATATATGCTCTGACAACTCCTTCAACTCTTCCACAGTTTTATTGAACTTACATTTCACATATTCTACTTTCATTCTTCAATTTCTATTTTTCCAATCTAAAATTTTGTTATTCATTTTTGCATCTACCATTCTACCGGGAGTACATTTTCTTCCCCATCCATTTGCCCGAAAAGTTCCCATAGAAAAGGAGAGATTTTTAAAACAGACTATTTTGAAAATATAATTAGTTAAATCGATTAAATGTTTTTAACAAAAACAGCTATTTTCAGCCACTACAAATATGATTTATGAAATACCCTATAAAAAACACGAAAACTACTAATTCTGTCTAATATGGGGGCGATTGCTAATTTTTCTACCATAGAAAAGGCCAAAAGGGAGTCCACTCTGCTGAGTGTTGGAGCATCGAATTCCGCGGACCCAAAAGTCCATTTCGTTTGCTAAAAATAGGCCTTTTGGGCTGTGACGAAGCCATTAGCCCACGCCAACAGCATCGCTTCGCAAAACCCAGTCCCCTCGATCTCTCGCCTTGTTGTTGGTCCTGACGAAAAGAAGCCCTTTTCTCTTTCCTCCCCTCGCCACTCTCTCTCTCTCTCGCTCTCGCTCTCGCTCTCGCCATGAAATTTCGCGCCAAGCTCCGCCTCGCTGCGGGGATCGCCGTCGCCGGCGGCCTGGCCTGGCAACTGAACCCTAACCTCGTCTCTGGCGACCGATCTTTGTCCTCCGCCGTCGACGGCGTCGTCCGATCCTCTCGCGCGATCTATACAGTGAGGCCACTCGCGTGCTCTCTCTGTTGCTTTTAATCTTGTTTAGGTTTTGGGTCTGATGACGATTACTGTTTGTTTTAGATAAGTTTTATCGTGGTTGATTACAAGTACTCGCTTCGGAGCTTGCCGCCTCAATCCAACAGCTACAGGAGCAAGTTATCCGAGGTATTCGAGAACTTCAGCGTATTTAACTATTCGAAAATTTCAAATTTTCGGTGCGACGTCGTTCAGTTCTACTGTAGCTAGAAATTTATGCACCGTAAAAACAATATATTTGGGTTTAAATGAGGAACAAGCAGCATAAATTCACTTCTTATCTGTTATCAAGGTAATGTGTTAAATAAGGTATCAATTCTTTCACGCATTTGCCAATATAGACAGGATTCAGATTCTCTCCACTAGAAAAAGAAAGCAGTGGAGGGACCACTACTTAATCACGACCATTGATTATGCAATGCACTAGGTGGTTATGATGTTTTTCTCTGAGTACAATACACGGGGATATAGTGAGCGTTAGATTTAAATTGTACCACAACCACCTACTAGATATTTAATGATTGAGATTGAAGTAGTGATCTCCACTACTTTTTTGTAATGGAGGGGATCCAAATTGATATAGATAACCTAAGTTTTTAAAGGAAAAAGGCCAGAGCTTGAGATATATTGAGAGCAAACATAACTAGTACTATGAGGATGGAGGGACGAGAACTAGTTAGAAATTTGCATAGGGCCTTCTGCTTTTATGCGTTTATGCGGCTGCAGGTGATCAAGACATAGCTCTATGAGACGTGATGGACCCTTGCTAATATTTTATTTAGTCCGACTCTTTGAGCTGAAAATACCATCATTTCATCAATCCATATATGGTAGCAAGTTGGTCAAGCCTAACAAAACACAGTCATAGGCATGACAAGTGTATTTCTAAAACCATAATTTATATTTGTATTTTATAGGTTCATCTCCGCTCAGCCAAAAAGCTACTCAAGTTGTGTGAAGCAAATAAAGGATTTTATGTTAAAGCTGGTCAATTTATGTCATCTTTGAGACAAGTTCCTAAGGAGTACACTTCAACTCTTTCATGTTTGCAAGATCAGGTTTGTGATTTCTGCATTACCTGTTCATGTTTAAAAAGACTTGTCTATTTCATGTACTATAAGTCCTAATGTTAGTGATGTCTTTTCTTAGGCAATTCCTTGTAGTTTTAAAGATATTAAAGAAGTTATCAGCAGCAATTTGGGCAAAGACCTCACTGAAGTGTAAGCTTTTTATACCTGACATAATTTTGAGATACAGTAGCTGCCAATTTTTGTTGCCAATTTTACATTATACAACAAAGGAAGTTTGAACTTTGGCTTATTTTTATTTTTATTTTTTGAAGTTTCCATCATTCACTTGTTAAACAGTTCCTTGAAATCAATACACTTCTTTGTAATTTAGTACTGCCTTCTGTATGTATTCCTGTGCTGTGCTACCCCTTTTTTTGGAGGAAACTGTGCAGTGCTACTTTTACTCATCCTATATATTTTCTTGTTTGGTTTCTTGTAGATGTCAAGCTATCATGAAATACGAATTTGCATTTACTGCCACTAGGAAACTTTCCTGTCGTTTTAGGAAAGATGCTCTTCTTTTGTTTTGTTTCTTGATTTAGATTTACTCTGTGGAAACGGAAATTCCCAACTGAGATCAATTATGGCACGGTGACATTTGTGTTGTATCGTGTGACATGTGCTATGTGTTGTGAAGGGTAAGTTTGGTCTTATACTCCAATTTGAAGAATTTTGTCTCAGAAATCACTTTAAAGTTAATTTTGAACTTGTTAAACTTAAAGACATCTGCAAATTTGCTAAACCATGAGTTTGTTCTTCAGTTTCTATAGCTATTTCATAGTGATTTAGCACACCACCACCAGGACTTTGATTGTACAGTTTTATAAGTAACCTTTTAGAAGGGAAAAGAAAGCTGTCATTTATTCCTTTTGTCACTGTTGGGCAGCCTTCTTCGGATGATCTCTAGAGGCATAGGGAAGTTTCATATAGTTAGATGGTTCTGCTTCTAATTTTTTATTATGCCTCAGGTTTTTGTCATTTGATGAACAACCAATTGCTGCTGCATCAATTGCTCAAGTACATCATGCATTTTTAAAGGATAACCAAGAAGTAGCAGTTAAGGTAAGTATTATTTGTCAACTGACTATAGACTTAAAGTTTATTTTATTTTGTTTTCCCTTTGTTTGTTAATTTTTCAGATACATCCTGCATTATTAGCAGATGGATTGTCTTTCTTCCTTATATTTATCTACAATTCGTATTATAATTTGTTGACATATGTTATAAATTTACCTACCTGAATTCTTTTCAGAAAAACACAAGTAACATTTGAAACCTAATGATTTGACAGTATATTTGAACAAGTGGTTTATGTTTATCTAGGTACAATACCCTGATTTAGAGCAGCGGATGAGAATAGATGTTACAACTATGGATGTCCTCTCAAAAGCAGTTTCATGGGTATGAAAAACTTGGTTTTTTATCATCTTCAACACTCTTTTCTGACATATATATAGCTAACACGATGGCTACATGGTACCGCCATGATGATATTTGTGTTGGGATCATGTCACCCAAGTTGGTGGATGTTTTGCTTGTCTATATTCTTTAGTCAATCTTATAGATCTATATACAAATACTTACAATCTACCAAGGTTATTGCTCTCTCTCTCTTTTATGTATGTTATGTCCTATTCAAGGTTACTTTTTAGCGTTGCCACTGCAAGCCTTCTTAGTCTTGACTAAATGGTAGGACCAACAAGGCACGCTCTGTTTTCACCTTTTTGACCCATGTTAGTGCTCTGTCACCATAAATTCGATTTAAGTCTACTGTAACAGTTAGAAGAAAAAGGACACAGTGTGTGTGTGCTCCCACAGTAGGGAATCAGGTCCATTTTGCCATCAGAAGGCAAAGACCAATAATCACCTACTTTATTATGATTCTTCAACTATAATTTTTCTCAAGCTTATTGCATGTGTTAGTACTCAGTTCTATTTGTTCCTCTAATAAATTTCTAATAGGAATTCCAATCGGTCTAAACGTTTTGTTTTGCATTAATAGAAACAAAGAATAAGAAAAATGAAGATATTATTTATTATACAAGAACAAATTTGCCTTTTCATTTCCCATCCTTTGGCTCACTATCACTAGAGCCTTAATCATGAACATTTGCTTTTGTGAGAGTAACTACATCATGCTTAAGGACATGTGCTTGTTCTTTGGGACCTGTGTGCATTTCCAAAACATGTGCTTGTATGTGCTGTTGAGTCTTGAGGCCTCACATATGTACTTAGTGTCCTTGTAGCCTGAACTGCTTTGTAGTGATACAACTAAAAATACTAAACTAGTTAAACTTGTATGGATTACATTAATGATACTTGCTGGGGATGCAGCCTGTTATCTTATCGTATGCTATAATCTACGAAGTATCTCTTCTTTATAGTCAATTTGAACTTCTCTTAATCCTTAATTTTACCATAGAAGGCCTATTTTTTTTAATCAATGAAGCATCTTTTCTTTATAATGTACAAGCATCTTTACTCTGTGGAACGTGAACTTCTCTTATCCTTAATTTTACCTTAAAAGGCCTTTTTATTTTACAGATTTTTCCCGATTACAGGTTTCAGCGTGTAGTTTCACAATTTGAGAGAGCCATGTCTATGGAGCTTGGTATGTTGTGTAATAAGAACGCTTTTTACTTGGAGCACTTTATATCCTGGTTTGAAAGATTTTAAGAAGTGATCGGAGAATGTATTCTGCAGCGTGTTTGCATCTGTTTTCCATGCTTGCTCATTTTAGATTGAAGATTGCTAAGTAACTTCTCTTAATATTTAGCATTTTTGTTATTGACTGGTGTATTTCAATAATATTGTTTCTCAAGTTCTCAGAGAAAATATTTTTCTCTCTAGATTAACGAACTTTTCCCGGAACACCTTTTGAGATATTCACATTAGCAAGTAACTATCATCTTTATAGGGCTATTATGAGGGTTAGCCTTGCTATGCAATTTGATATCTACTAGGTGAGTGCTTACTCATACAAGGATTAGAGCTACAGGCATCATTAACACTGAAGGAATTTCTTGCTTATCAGTATAGACACTCTGAATATACAAGATGTTTTTCCACTGGGTAACTGCATGCCATACTAATTTTTATAGAAATTTTGAAATCCTCACTTTTTATTTCCTTCAGTACATTTAGAGGCAATAAGATGTTAATGGGTTTATTCTTGGGCAATGCATGCTTAGTATAAAGGTGTTAATAATATGAGCTCCTTATTTGTGATTTTTTAATCTCTTTTTTAGATTATCGTGATTAGAAATGTAGTTATTAGTTTGAAAACTTTTTTATAAAGTATGATTTATTGAAAATCCATTTGTTTGGTGTATCATAGTTTATAATGAATTACAAACTCAGGTTTTCTTGTAAGTCTGTGCCTCTGTTATTGGTCTACCTGCAGGAAGTTAAGTAAGCTCATCTCTTTGAAAAGTATACCGAAAGCCGTCTTGTTTATACATGTAAATTTGAGTTTCTTGTGTTTCAAATGCTGTGCGTTTTAATTTTAACATTTTAGTTTCTGTTGATTTGTAATCTTCACTTGCCTTTTTTGCCTGCAAATTCAAACTTAGTTTCATCTCTAATTCCTGTATGTATTTTGAGTCTAGTTCCACTATTTATTTAAAGTTTTAACATTCAACTATGGATATTAGAAGACTCCCAAAATTTAAGATCTTTAAAAAGTCCGAATCAAGTCTTCACTAGATATTTTGTCCAGTTTAGTTCCAAGTCTTTCTCCTAAAACACTGAATCAGGAAAATGCAATGGGTTGCCCAAAATTTCTAATTTTTTAGGCTGCCTTTATCCAAGTTGTCAATAGGTATCTAAAGGGGAACGGTTGAGTTCTTAGGGGTTTGGTGTTGAGCTTGGATTATATTCTAACTTGTGAAAAACAGTTGTCGACAAGGTCTAATCTGAGTTATTCGGTTATTGCCAGCTTCTACATCCTAGCACACTTTTGTAGGTGTTCTCCCTCTCATGTATTGAAACTAGGTCAATGTTAGTTTCTGCAGCTGTATGTAAGCAAATAAATACTAGATCCATGAAGAGATTTTAAAATTCTTCTGTCTCTTGTGAATCATGATGAAGAATGGCATGCATACATAGTTACATACATATATATACAAATACACATACACATGCACGCATGCCCGCCTGCCATGCATGCTCGCATCCGCCCATGACCGCACCTGCAGCACGCGCGCGAACAGACACAAACTCACTCACTCAAAGTTAATTCTGCAACTTTTGCTCAGTTACTTAATTGCATCTAAAGTTCTTTTTAATATATGTCAGATTTGTTTTTCTGAATTGATTGTCCTTTTCCATTAACCAAAGTCCACTGATTTCTTATAGGTCATTAATTTTTTAAATATGCAAGTTATTTCAAATCTTCTTATAGATTCAAAAAACAAAGTAATATTAACTCAATTCAGTTGTTGTAAAGATTTTATTCAGGAGGCGAAGAATTCTGAGAGAGCTGCCAGAAACTTCAAAAGGAATAATGTTATCAGAATTCCCCATGTATTTTGGGTATGAAGTTTTGGAAAATAACACAAAACTAGTAGTATAAAAGTTAAAACTTCTAGCTTTATGTTTTGAAGCTCAAAATAGTAGTCAGACCACATGAGTTTATTCCCCCCCCCCCCATGCTTTAGCATGGTAAAATCTGACTACCGGTGACGCCTTGCAGGACCTAACAAGCGAGCCAGGTTCTGACCATGCAATTTTGTAGTGGACCAAAGGCTATTATATGGCTTATGTATTGCATCTGGTTTTATTTTGAAGCAGTCATTTGATGCATAGGTTCTGTTGCTACCAGCTCTACCAGCAAGCTTCCCATGTCTTCTTTATTATCGAACTGAAGTTCATACTTGCAATATATCCTGTAGCTTATTATATATATATATATATATTATATATTATATATTATATATATATATATGATATATATATATATTCCTTGTTTATCCTTAACCCTTGTTTTGATTACAAAATATTGAAGACTATAAAATTCATAATGGTGCTTCATTACTCTCTCAGGATTGTACATTACAAATCTATAGCAGATATCCCTTTAGCCACACCTCTTCATTTTTCCAACCTTCGCTGTCCAGGTCACTGAGTGAAGATGGTGTGATTTGTGGACAAGTGTCTCGTATGCTAGTCTTAAAGTGGTTGTCAGACAATCTGACTAGTTTAAGAATTGGGATCCTCTCCTCATCCTAATATTTCCTAATGAAGAATTGTGAAGAGTTGGGACGGGGACCGACAAGCATGGGTGGGAAAATGAAAGGCCATGATGAAAATGAAAGGGTAGGATCTCCTTATTAGGAGCTTTTCATTAGGAGAGGATCCGGATCCCTAGTTTAAGCTAGTTTTGGATGCTAATATCTGAAAGTAGATTTCCTTAATTGCACGGCTGATTTGAACAAAATTTAAGAAGTAAGAACTATAGAAATGAGAATCGTGACCAGAGGAGATGGCATATAAGAAGGAGAACAATCTTCGCTCGTTTTCATATCTTGTTATTGTGGGGAAAATGTTCTATGATAAAGTACCAACTTTTTCTTGTAATTTATGCTACAGTCATACGACCTTCTGTTGTAAAGAATGTGTTGCTTTCAGAAAACTAGGACTTGGATATCTATGCATATATGCACGGTACTTTGTCTAGCAGATTTATGCCTGATATAAACTTACTAGTCAAATAAGTCTTTTGCTGGTAAGTTATGTGTCGATATATATTTGTGTAAATCACTTAGGGAGCATGGTTTAGGATCATTATCACAAATGGCATGCTCCAAAAACAGTAAACTCAACTACATAAACCACATACATAATATTAAGGTGCATGACATAAACATTGTAGTAAGGAACATCCTCATTCTCTTTTTTATCTGGCCCACTAACCTACAGCTGCATCACCTATTCACCAAAAAATCATGCTCAATCTATCAAGATTATTGAGTCTAGAGAGGAAGAGGAGGGCCAACTGAATCATAGTTGCAATGAATTTGTTTTGGGATATTTCATTTTGATTTTATCTGACTGTTTTCGATAATTGTTTTGGACTACAGCTTTGATGAATGATGATAATAATTTGCAAGAAGAAAATGGTGAAAATCTTATGCCCCCTTGAATACATGAATCAAGTAATATTTTTAATTAGTTTATTTCCTTCATAAACCTATTGAACATTGTAGCACGGTAACACACATAAGTTAACATAAAAAGAGTTTTGTGATTAGTTAAGTTTATATCAGGAGCAAACCGTGTTCCCTAAGTGATTAGCAAAAATATAGAATATGTTTGTTTTGTTACTGGAACTATATTCATAGAAGGTGCTATGGACCTGCAGTATAGATGTAAACTTCTGATTGTTTCAGTTTTAAGTGCTAATCTTAGCTTGTATCTATGAGAATTTAACAATCATCTTTTGTTTTTGACAAGGATTGAACAATTCTGTAGGTTGATGACTTGGATTTTCTCAAGGAGTCAGGTATAAATCCCATGAAGGTTTGTTTTCGAAATCAGAAATCCGTTTGTGTTGCTAAGTGCAATTTATAGTACATGATGCAAATTTCAAATACATGCTAATGTTATTGTTACAATTGAGATTCTCTTTGTGCTTGACAAAGGTTGGTTTCAGTATCGTGCATAAACTATTGCGATAAGTAGCTTAATATATATAATAAAAGGAAAGGATCTTGGCTATCTTTTTATTCCAAACTATGTTGCCCCCCTAATCACACACTCTCAAATTGCTGAGTAGCCTAATTGTCAAATTCTGACTTTTCTTTTTCTTTTTCTTAAAAATGCATAAGCATTTACTGTAATTTACATTTTAGTGATTAATCTCAGAAGGAAAGCATTTCTTTTTTGTTGATGACATACTCTTCTTATAGTTATCAGTAATTTTCTTAGTGTTCAAAATGACCAATAATCATCTGGTAAGGTGGTCAACGAACTTGCTCAAAATGACCAATATATCTTAGGTTATAGAAGCATTATGGTAACCAGAAATTTTCTTTCTTTATAATTGATTCTGTAATATAGGTTTTTCCATCACGATGAATTTTAAAATCAAGTAGGATGTTGAATTATAGGTTATTGAAATGGGATCTCATTCTCTCTAGTGCTTTTTTATTATGAGAAGGAGGAGGTGGAGGATATGTTGAGAGGGAGATAAAATGAGAATTTTCTTCAGATTTAAATTAAAACATCCCCTAAATTCTCATCATAACAAAAAATAAGTAGCAAGCAAAGGTCCCTCTGTTAATAATGTAACTTTTAGGGTTTATTAATCATTTACTAAACACAACAAGTTTTATGATTCTAGTGATTATTTCAGGAAGGCCTTTTTTTAAATTTATCCAAAAAGAAAAGAAGGGAAAAAACTACGCATGATGCTATAGTAATTTGGTTTTGTAAATAGGGTAACAAGTAGCACAATGCATACTTGTTTTGGGTATTTGCATTATGCAAGGAGATAAATAGGTAGAAAGATGTAAAATGACCCAAAAAATTGTTATTTTCACGTCTCCTTCCCATTTAGTGATTTTGAAGGATGGAAAATATCTGTGTATGCAAACAGGTATTTTATTATTTTAGTATTTCCCATTATTATAATCCTTTAGTGTTTGTATAATTTATGGATTATAGAAATTGCAGGTAGCTAAGGCATTAATGGAAGCATTTGCGGAAATGATTTTTGTGCATGGTTTTCTGCATGGAGATCCCCATCCTGGTAATATATTGGTTTGTAAAGAAGGCAGTAGAGGATTTTCTCTCGGTATGTATTTTAACATTTGTTTTAAGCTAAACATGTCTACATTTGTATACTGCTTCTTTCATCTCTATATCTTATTGCACATTCCAGTTGATATAATTTCATTATGCATTCTTCAAATATACAGTTCTTTTAGATCATGGTCTGTATAGAGAGTTAGATGAAAGGTTCAGGTTGGACTACTGTCAGCTATGGAAGGCCCTGATCCTTTTGGATTCGCAGAAGATTCAGCATCTAGGTGAACAATTTGGAGTTGGCAAATATTCAAAATACTTTCCTGTCATTTTTACTGGAAGGACTATAGACAGGTAAATTTTGGTTTACATTTTTACATATGCTGAAGTTATGGATTTATGTTCATATGACAGCACCGAAAGCAAAGCCTTTATTTAGACAACTTTTAAATTTGGAATGTTGGCACATATTTCTATGCCATGTTTTCCATTCAGAGAGAAGCTGCATCTCTCTAGTACTGTTATCCTGTTGTTTTACTGTCCAGCTGAGTAGCTTGTTTAAAGCCATCTAAATGCATTTCTTTCAATATTAAAGTGTTTTGATGTGCTATTCTTCTATCAAGGAGCTGTATCTATATCAAGTATGAACTAAATACCACAATGAGAGTTGAATTTGTTGATGTATACCAGTACTTATTGGGACTGTCCATCCAACTGGTAAAAGCTAGATCTAACAAGTGCAAACTGTGATTAAACAAATAGCATGAGGTGAAAAGCCTTTGAAGAACTTATCATTTCAAAAGAATTTATTTACCCAGGTAAAGTTGAGTATTGTTAGATAATTATAAAACAGAAGATTCATGTTAGTACATAATTTGCTAAAGAGTTGATTTTTCTTGTGGTGTATTTGGATTACTTATTGCAACTCAAGCTGTGAACACATAGTGAATTGGATCTACAATTGCTGAATTTCTATATTGCGTCTATATCAGTTTGCTAATATGAATATGCTATTGTGCACAAACAGTCTATAGTAGGTTAGTCATTTATAAACCTTGCTTCTAGTTACTTTGCATGTTGCACAAATAATTCACTGCATTTCCGTGATATTTTTTTAATTAAGGCATGTACTACAAACACCATATAAAAATATTTGATTCTGTAGTTCTTAAAATTCCTATCCGTTCCTTGCCAGCAAATCTACTCTTGGAACACAAATGTCTATTGAAGAGAAGAAACATTTAAAACAGGAACTGCGGTCTTTGAGGATGGATGATATTTCCTCATTCATGGAATCTTTGCCACCTGACTTCCTTTCCATACTACGGACAGAGTAGGGCCAATATTCCTTCATCTGTACTTAAATGTGTTTAAAAAATTTTCTAACTGGAATCCTTTTAACATAATTTCATTTCAGTGGTTTATTGAGGTCTATAGTGAGCAAGCTGGGTGCACCACGGAGCTTACGTCTTCTCACATATGCAAAATATGCGGTATATGGTCTTGCAACAGGGCCTGATGTCAAACCTGGTGAGTTTTTATGGAAATCTGGGTTCAAATAAGAAAAATTAGTATAGAACACGTTCATAATGTTCAGGTGATCTGATCCTCAGGTTTCTTAACTCTATTTTGTTTTTAGAGCCCAGTATTTTTGTACTTAAATAACCTTAAATTTGAAAACAAAGCATATTAAATAAAAATTAGATCTATAACGGTTTCTCGGAATAGAGATAATAAATCTCGAGAAGTTTAGTAGATGAGGATGTCTCACATTTATGGGGATGAGGTGGTGTTTCTAATTGCCAACTTTGTCCATCTAGGTTCAACAATTGAACATGTTTTTTCTCGAGTCTATACAAGACTGAGCTACCTCCAGTTGAGGGCACTTGTTGGTAAGCTTTTATTTTCTTATTCATGCATCTAAGCAGAATCTGTGTGTTATATACTATGAAGGAAATTCATCTAACAGTCAATGCTATTCAGAGATGGCAGCATTGATTTCTCAAATGAAAGATCTCAAATTTTCGCTCGTTCGTAAGTTGAAGAGGATGCTGCATGAAGTCATGAATTTTCTCTATTCAACTATATTTTTCTTCCAATCATAAAGGATTTCTGGAGTTGGAAAAGAAAATTGGATGCAGGGTGGAGTCATTGGAAGATTGAATCCCGCAAGAGGAAAAAAGCCAGTTCCTTGAACGGACCTTGGTACTATATTGAATCCATTGTAATGCATCACATGCTATAATCTGATCATAATTTTTTTCAACAATTCAACTTGTCAAAATTCATTCCATCTCTGTGAAAACGCATTTCGTAACTATTTTTCTTGTCAATAAAGTGTATGGAGGTTTGATTTCAGAATTCTCTATTCAATTATGAAGCATTCTCGGTTCTAACATTATCGCGGCATGTATTTTTCAATTATATATACAACCTTTGGTCCTCAAACATGGTTCTCACTAACTGTATGACCTCGAGTTTGACCTTCTAGTTGAAACTATGTATTCTATTTTTACTCTTATGGATAGCCACGTTCAAACCGCATTTCTGTAACCTGAAGAAGGAACAACAATTATATGCAGCATGTGTGCGACAGATGAGCTAAATGAGACATCAACTCTGTGTTGGGATCCTGGATTGAAGGTGGTAAATCGACAGAATTCTCACTCCTTGCAGTTCTAGTGACCAAATAACATGAGTGCAGCGAGAACTCGATCAGGATGGTCAAGAGTATAGCCATCAGGTTTCCTGCCAAATGCCCTCAGATCCGATCATTATTTTCGTCTCTTGTATCAAAATTGCTACTCTCATATACCCAAATTCTAGATGTAACCAAATATACGTTGAAACCTGCAATTGCCTAGAAAGAATTTCTTACGAGACTTGCTTACTACACGTAATAAACAGGATTAATGTTTACAGCTGAAGCCACTGAAACACGATACAGAGAAAGAAGAAAGTAGGCAACTTAAAGAAGCCGGTTCCAGAGTCAAGGTAAAACAGATCAATCTATATAGTCAGATAATACCAAAACTACATCTTATAACTATACTATCCCAGCACCACACAGGAAGAAACTTACAATACAAAAAGTATACTGAATTTCACAAGCCACACATACAATGCTCACTCTGATATCACGCTGCCAGCTTACAAGTCGGTACTAGTTTGCCTGAAGGTTTTCATGCTCAGCTTATAGTTCAAGACATTGATCAGCTGATTCGTACACCGATGCAAGAGAAAAAAATATGGCCCTAGTTCCATCAATTCCATGACAAATAAAAAGTCCCCTAAAGTCTGATCTTCAGTCGCTGCAAAATGAGCATGTCATTTATTCAGCTAAATGAGCAGATGATTAAAAAAATACTAAATGGATTTTAGAAGAGCAAAAATTGACTACTTTGTCCAGAAACACAAGGGAAAATCTTGCATCGGATCCGGTACCAGCAGTTCAGCATTTTCGGCAGTTTCAAAAAATTTCAGATTAGAAGTAAAGGAATTGTTGCTCAAATAGATTCATCTGCATGTTAAATTTTAATCAAGAGTTCTTTTAATAAAGTACAAATAATTGACATAAAGCATTAACCTTCTTATGTATTTTCAAATTTTAAATCCAAAAAATTGAAATTGTTACAAGTTAGGTACATGATTCGACCAAATACCTTCAACTGTATTCCCGCTTTGATATGCTACATGCAGCCTAAAATTTAAAGTTAATTTATTGTGCTACTACCATTTATATAGCCAAATTGACTACATATCACATGCCTTGTCCTATTTCAACATCCTAACATATAAAAGTTTTTGCATCCTCCAGTCTTGAGTAAGAAAATTATCCACTTCACCTACAATATGGTGATCCTATAGCCTTTTTTCTTATCTTTTCTTTCTTTCCTCTTTTTTTTTCGGGAGGTTGGGTTTTTTTTTTTTTGGGGGG